CTCTGAGTACTGGCTGCGAGGCTTCAGAGCTTTGATGGAACAAAATGTTACCCAAGTATGAGGATATTTATGCTGAGACTCTCTAATTACACAATTCCTACTGGATTATATAAACAGGTAGTCCCAAGCAAACGGCTGCATGAAGAACCCTTACACACCCTCCACTAAATTATGTAAATGGTATATAAGAACAAATGTCTGCAGAAACATACATGCATATGTACTGTATGTGCTAGAATGCACATTTCACAACACATTAAGAGTTGATGTCGTATAAAAAAATAAACATACATACTCACACACACATTGTGTACGGATGCACAGTTTTTGCAGCCACCACTCCCAGACACGTACAGTGCAGAACAGACATACACACACACTTTGAACACAACGGAGGGACATTAGAAAACCAGACCCCACACACAGTTTTAGCCCATATCCATGAACAGCATCCTGGAGAAGCCAGAGGCAAAGACAACATGTTAAAGAACAGTATAGACCGTCATACCTCTTTGTTATACATGTTGGAACTAAATTATTGTTATTGTGGCCAATGGTCACTGTTGTGACATTTTATTTATTTCTGATTTCTCTTTACAGATGATTTTGTCAGTACAGTAACACCATGACATTTTAAATATCTTATGTGTTAACGGTTTAATCATTTTAATCAATTGCCATCAGACTAAGCCAGGATCTTGCATCTCAGTAGCTGTAATGGCTAAATGGTCCTAAACTATTAACTACAAATTACAATTTTACGAAAAAAGTATGCATTTGGCAGCTCTTGTTTGGTCAGAAAAGCTATGCCGTGCTTTGGTGGTCAACTGATTCCAAACTGCTGTTGCTGCTCAGAATTATACCTTCCTGATATGTAAATTCACAGCAGTGCACGTCAGCATTCACCACTTCAGAGCCTGAAGAGCAGCTAACATATGCTGCAACTACACTGTACATTGTATTGAATTTGGTGTATTTGGGCTCAGTAGCTGCAGTGTTTGCAGACTAGCCAGCTGATCTTTTCTAAATTTTTGCACAACCTTGTTAAAGCCCTTGATAACAGTCTTCTTGACAAAAGCCTGAGAACACCTCACATTGAATGTGATTAGGGAATCAGACCAGAAGCACGCTAGAAAAATTGCTGCCATCATCAAGTCAACATGTTAATTTGTCCATACTTTTGTTTGTGATCTAATACCCACACCCAAACTAAGATGTTTGTATTTAGTGCTTATTAGCAAATGTTAGCATGCTAGCATACTAAACTAAGATGGTGAACATTGTAAACATTATACTTGCTAAAAATCCGCATATTAGCAGTGTCATTGTGAGAATAATATTGGCATGCTGGTGTTAGCCTTTAGCTGAAAGCACCACTGTGTCTAAGTTCAACCTCACAGAGCCGCCATCATGGCAGTACACTCTTAGTGTATGTTTTATTTTTTTCCTTTGGAGTATTTTTTCCATTGAAGTGTAGTGTAAGTGGTACATTTCACAGTTGCCGCTTGTGCTGAAGCCGCAGTAGTATAAGGGTTATCTATTTAAAGCAGTCATCAAATCGTTACACTGCTTGCCATTCTGCTGTCAGGGAGCCTCTCTGTCTTTCCGTTATATTTGTGTATGAAGAGAACACAAATAGTCAAGCAGCATGTCGATATGCCAAACCCACTTCTGTCCATTAATTCACTGCTGGTGCTGATCCACTGGGTCCATTAGCACTAATGAACATCACAGCAGCCACCTACACACACATTCACAAGCTTTCATCTGCCCGCAGAATCAGACTATTGAAATGTTTCCTTGAAAACAGTATTCATGTCTAGACAAAGAGCTGTATAGTTTCAAGTAATGCTTATATGAAGTTGTAAATTAATGTTGAAAATGTGTGTAATGCATTTACACTTTACAACCAGGTTAAATAAAAACAAAACACTTCTTTCTTTGTCTCTCTCCCATTACACAGACTTGTTTGGGTTAATTTGGGTTGTGATGAATTTAAGCACTATAACTACAGTAACGGCAGCAGTCTTGGAAAAAGAGTTGTCATCACACCTAGAGTTATTCAAGCCTTAGGGAACATGGCCCAAACAGAGGTAGTTAAACTGTATTATCTCGTTATGGTTACAACAAGATAATAGTCATTAAAACATTTTACAGGCATTTTGACAATTGTTGGCCAACATGTTTGCATGGGGTGACTGTTACTGTAGGCTCCAGTTTTTGTAGCTTCAGCAATTCAGGGAATGTTTGTAGTTGTTTATACTGTATGTGTTTTTATAGCATTCATGTTTTTCTCTGAACACTTTGACTCACAGACACAAGAATGTGACTCTTTACGACAAAGGTTGACTGGAAAAATTTTCCCACTAGCTATGTGATCTATTCAGAATTGCTCCGGTCTGTTCAGTCTGTATGTAGAGAGAGATGTTTCCGTTATTGAGTCTTTAGTCATTGATATATAAATGGGGTGGACAAAATAATAGAAACACCTGTCAGCGTAACGCATTACAATTTAACAGCACCACAAACTGCAGCTTGTAAAATGATCATACAATTAAATCAACACCGCTCCAAAACTGTTTCAACAAAAATTTTACATTATAACCTTCATGACGGTAGGATGTATTGCAGGACTGTTGTATTAGACTGCATTAGTTGTAGCTAGGTGGACCTAATAAACTGGCCAGGGAGTCCATCCATCCATCCATTCATCATCAACCACTTATCCTGCGTACAGGGTCGTGGGGTGGCCAAGGAGTGTATGTGTCAAATGTAACGTCCATACATTATTCACTGAAATGCTGTCAAACAATCTGCCCTCGAGCAAAGCTTGTACAACCAGCTGTTAAATTGTAGAAGACTGTGTTTAAATTACTTGTGAAGTTTATAAACATGAATTGGTGCATTGCTGCAAAAAAGGAATGTATGAACATCTGGTCCCAACATCTGGTCGTTCATATTTGGTTAAGTGCTCTGGAAAAGGTTAGTTACCATAGAATATATACACACACATATTTAGCTGCCATTTTATTAGTTAGCAAAAACCAATGCAGTGTAGTACAAAGAGGGTAACTTAAATATTAGAAACACTGCTCACTATAACACTATACAATTCAACAGCATCACAAACTACAGCTTCCAAAATGACCACATAGCTGCTCCGCAAAAACTTAATTATAACCTTCAGAAAGGTAGGATTTATTGTTTTAGCTAGACTGTGGATGGCCGATGTAGGATGTCTGTGCCTCCTTCCCAGAGCTGTGTGTACGCACATGGGAGGCCATGAGGCTTATTTGTTTGGACCCACTGAAACACTGGGCTGTGCCTCCCTTTTTTTTTTTTTTTTATCGGAACAATGAGAAGTCTGGGAGGCGTTTATATAATTACCCATTCATGTTCTCTAAGCGTGATTGTACATCTGTAAAGCATCATGGATACGTTTTCTCTGGATTTAATTTCAGACATTTTCAGGACATAATAGACTCACTCATTTTGCAGACTTTTCCTCTTTATGCTTTTTCTGTTCGGTTGCCTGCTTCAGGGATATAGTGAAGTTGTGCTTTTCTGCCACTTGTCTCTTTGTCCCAGCTCTTTTCAGGAATGAGAATTGCATTTTCCAGCTCTTCTAAAGCCTTATTGGTGTTTATTGAATACAGTAATCGATAGTGATTGCTGTATCATAAACCAATAAATTACAGTTTCACATCTGAGGTAATAGCTTGTGAATGGACTCAATCTTTTCTGTGGAGAAACTTAAGCGTGTTTGTGCCAGAGTTAAAAGTGTATCACTCTGCCTGCTTGTCCTAACACCCAGCTGGCAGTGACCGGAGGACTCTGAGGTTTGCGTAAGCAGCCTGGAAGCCATCTCCCCCAGCAGATGGCCATTATTAGTGACAATGAAGACTAGCCCACAGGGCCAAATAGAATAACAGGGAGCCCATATCCTTATTGACTGTGTATGAACCACCTATCCCCCCCCCCCCCCCGACACACACACACTGTTCACATCTTCTGCTGGGAATGTATTGTTTTTCCATCACTGTATCCAAGTCTTTTTTTTTTTCCAGCTCAAACTCTAAATTGTTTCCTGTAGAGATGTTACAGGATAGGCGGTGCACACATGCAAAAGCACATGTACAACAAACGTGAATTCTCCTAATTCAACACAGATCCCCTTGAGACAGAGTTGAATGGGCTCTTATTCAGTACTGAAGGCTAGTAACAGTACTGATACTGGTACTGATGTGTTGGCCTAAGTTCATTTCACATCAACTGTGGACAACTGCTGCAATCACTGCACTATGCAATGGTAGTTTGTCAACTGCAGCACAGTTATCCACCGCTTATCAAGTTTCACTTTAAGCAGAAATAAAGGAACGGGTTCTCATTATTATTATTATTTATTATTATTATTAGCACAACTGTAGACCTAGGGAGACATATTAACTGAGTGAGGTTGAACAAACTGTCATGTAAACCTGTCACAGCAAACTACTATTAGTGCATTAATTACATGTAAAACATGCGTGCTGCAAGGCAACGTAATTTGAACAACTTTCTAATACAGAGTTAAATTCAAAGTTCTTTACATGAGACAAAGAAATGCATTAGAATGACATTTAAAACACAAAATGGTGAGAATGAAATAAAATGCATTAAGAGGTTGTTCATCTTAGATTTAATGCCACTAATTTATCAGCCTCAACAGAAGTCTAGCAATCAGCACTTTGGTGTGAGTTTTTAAAGCAACATGAGATGAACTATACAACTCTGAAGAGGCAAAATCATCGGTAGTCAAATGGAGCGAAATAATGTAATATGTTAGAGAATAGTCCTTGAAAAACACAGACAAGCTGCATTGCCAAAGAGGAAGAGAGGCCACAATTGAACCCACTAACCGGGAAATGATAGACAGATACAGCGGGGATCATAATAACACATACAGTATCAAAGGGACAGGAAACTAACATCTACATCTTCCCTGTCTCGTATCTTGACAGGAATAGTAAAAAGGAGTCTGACCTGGAGGCGGCTCTGCTCAGGCTGAGGGACCTTGAGGCCCTGCTCAACTCTAAAGATGCTTCTCTCAACACTGCCATGGGGGAGAAGCGAACCCTGGAGGCTGAGGTGAAGGACCTCAAGGCCCAGCTGGCCAAGGTAAAAACAGTTTTATTAGAACTGAACTCTTACTTGTTTGTTGTTGACCGGAAGGGCATGGCTCAGAGCAAAAACAAACCCATTCAGAAACCATGGAAAGCTTTTTTTTTTTAATATACCATTGTGGCGCCTGCATTAGTATCAGAATAATTTTAGCTTAGTCCTGCCCATGACACATCACTCTAAATTGCATATGGAAAATGGTGTGGTGCTATTGCTGTTTACATCTGATTAACCTTGCATTGATTGTAATAGGAGAAAACCTTTAAAAGCACTGGTTGCCACCTGTTAGAAAAGCAGTTAGCAGTTGGAGTGCAAAGCTGCTGAGTGACATTTGAAATGATTGTCTCAGTGTGCTCTCTACCTTGTAAGTGCAGAAATGCCTCAGTGGAAGTAGTAATTTTATGTAAACCCTTAAGGCAGTTAATTATGAATGAGGACAAGGTGGTGGGGCAGACAAGGTTGCCTTCTCTGCTGTTTGTTTTATCAATGAATTTTGCCATAGGATTGACGTAGATACGGTTGTGGCCTTGCTCCACCTACTGGCCACCCTGAGAAACTATAGCTTTTCTCTTAAAAGAATAGTTCAAAACTCAAACCATGCTGCACAGATCACACCTTGAGCTGCATTTGAAACCTTAAAGAACATTTCTCATTTCTCTCCTCATCTTCTCTTTCCTCCTCCTCCACCCTCGCAGTTGGAGAGTAACTTAGCTGATGCCAAGAGGCAGTTGCAGGATGAGATGCTGAGGAGAGTGGATGCAGAGAACCGCCTGCAGACCGTGAAGGAGGAACTGGAGTTCCAGAAGAACATCTACAACGAGGTTCCCACTCTTCACCTTAACCCTTCTATATTTATTCATCTGTCCTACTTTTCATCTTTTCCACAGGATATTGATTTGCTTCCAACCATCAGCTTGTATGTTTTGCATTCCTGATGCAGATCTGTGTCACAGACGCACATTTTTCTTTATTTTATTTTAAGTTTATTTTCACAGAAATGATAAGACTAGGCTACAAGTAAATTTAATAGTTATAGCCATAATTAAGTCACATGTTTCACATTGTTCTAGTCATAGTTATTTCCTGACCAAATTCTGCCAACAGATGTGTGTTTTCCAAATGTAAACATAATGATTAGGAGTTGCTAAAAGGTCACCAGGGACCACTTCTGAACAAACAATTACTGCACAGTGACTGACTAATCAATGCATTTAAGTTCATTGAGCATAGCATATTTCTACAGGTGGAGTCTTTTTTTAATAGTTTGTAGTGCCTAAAAGAAAATAAACCAAACATCAAGACAAATTACTCTTTTTCTAGTTTAATAAAGTAATAAAAGAATTGACAAAGTCAATTCAGCTTCTAATGAGCACAAGTCCAAATTAGACTAGTCATGAGGCAAAGGAAAATACAGGAAACTAAAAGTAAGCGCTATTGAGACTGATAACAATCACCAACTTGTCTGTCTGTAGGAGCTGCGTGAGTCTAAGCGTCGGTACGAGTCTAACGTCGTGGAGATCGACAGCGGGCGTCAGCGGGAATTTGAGAGCAAGCTGTCGGAGGCCCTGGCTGAAATGAGAGCCCAACACGAGGAACAGGTCCGCCTCTACAAGGAGGAGATTGAGAAGACCTACAACTCTAAGGTATGTCTGGATGCTGCAGGAGGCACACTGCTGACACCTAGAGTCAAGAAGAGACTCTTTCTTTAATTTGGTGCGGTTTCGTTTGGGTTGTTCTCTCTGCTCTCTGGTCTACCTCGAAGAGGTGGTCTCTGACCGCCATCAAGTGAACTCTGGAGCGGTTCATTTCTGGTGTGAACACCATTCGAACCAATCACGTGAAGCTACCATTGTATATGTCATTTAAAATAGTACATATTTATTATTGCTGCACTATTAAATGTCTTATAGCTATTTATATTATTTCGTATTTATCAGAAAACATTTTATTATCAAGTAGTTAATACTTTGCCTTTGTGTTTGGTACATACAATAAACATATTAAGGGTATATAAACAGAAAGGCACTGAATGACATTTCCACCACATGGCTTATGTTTACAATTTCTGGATTGTTTGAGTTTTGCCTTTGTGAATGCAAACCCGACAAATTTAAACAATGTATCATCCTCGCATTGGTTCGATTCAGGAGCCATACCTTTTAGATGTGAACACGAACTTAATTATAGTTCAGCTTAGTGTCTAGTTGTTTTTCATTTGCAAATATCTTTAATAAGCTACAAATAGTCTCACATCCACACAATTTATTGAACATAAATAACCACTGTCTTGTGGGAATGTTAAAGAGGAATGTGGATAAACAGCAGTTTCTTCCAGTGGAATTTTCTTGTAAATGAAACCTTAGCTAAAGTGTTCTTTGTTTTACCAGACCCCTTTGTATAGTCAATTGTGAGAATTACTGTTTCTAAATTAGTTAATTTATTATTTATTAATTTATTAATAACAAGCTAAGAGTTATTTCTATTGTGGTGTTTGATCTTCAAATAAGTTAAAGATGTAATTCATGATAATGATGATGTCACCTGAAATATAGTAAACAGCATGTATTTTTAACAGCACTTAACCACTGCTGATAGCTGACTGTACCATCTCTCTGTCTGTCAGTTGGAGAACGCCCGTCATTCAGCTGAAAGGAACAGCCATATGGCGGGAGCTGCCCATGAAGAGCTGCAGCAGAGCCGTGTTCGAATAGAGAGCATGTCAAGCCAGCTCGGCCTGCTGCAGAAACAGGTACTCACACTCATACACTGGTTTGTTGATCTGTGCGGGTTTTTACTGGCCAAACTGTGCGGAGGACTGATATTGTCATGAATGCTCCAAAACACAGACTATAACTGTTCACCACCAAGCACCAGTGATACATTTTACATTAAGCTTTACCTGATGTGTCAAGCAGTAGTGTACAGACTGCTTAATTGGCCACTAATTGACTGATCTTTGTATGCGTGTTCTCCCTAAATCAGCTGTCGGCAAGCGAGGCCAAGGTGCGTGAACTGGAGGAGTCTCTGTCAAGAGAGCGGGACATGATGCGCCGGCGTCTGGAGGATAAAGAGCGGGAGATGGCTGACATCCGAGCTCGGATGTTGCAGCAGCTCGAGGAGTACCAGGAGCTGCTGGACATCAAACTGGCCCTGGACATGGAGATTAATGCTTACAGGAAGCTGCTGGAGGGAGAGGAGGAGAGGTGAGATTGTCGATTGTAAAACAGAGCTAGACCAATGAAAAACATAGCCACCTTGAGGCAAATTGATGGTTTACATGTTGTTACTAGAAGGGACGAATCCCTCACAAGTCAGAATACAAACAGTTATTATTCACTCTGACTGTATTTTCTCTGAGAAAATCTTGTTTTATGCCACAAATGTCTGCTTAAATGGTGAGGCTCAAGTTATATGTGCTTATTTGCTGTCTGTGCTGCTGTTATATGCAACTCTGTTATGAACTATAACAGGGGCTTTAGACGCTTTTTCTCATATTTTTAAAACCTAAAGATATATTTGTCTTCACCACATTCATAAATATATAAATAATTAGCTTTCTCTCTACCTGCGCAGCATTTGTCAAGCTATTAGCAATTCATTTTCATTTATTTAACCTTTTATAAAACAGCCTGTTAACAGTGAGGAACAAAAATATAAACAAATTAACAGGAACAGACAGAGTTGTTTTTAATATCACAGAAAACAAGGTATAGGCTCAATGAAAGCACTCACAGTGAGGCCGAGAGTGGTTATTATAAATAGTGTGAAAGTACAAGTTTTTTTTAATGCAGAGACTATTGCAGTAACTGTAAAGTCAGTTCTTTCTAGACCAGTTCTGGTTTGGGGGTTTTGGAGCATCAACCACTCAAAGGAGCAGGTGGTTATAGTAGCTATGGGTAAGAGTCCCAGAGCCATAAGGATGTGATATAAAAAGGCACTTTACCAAGAATGTGAGACTATATCTGTATGCTACACTGACTGCCTTGGTCTATATCTATCATCTAAATCATCTCCCTCTTTCCTCAGGCTGCGTCTGTCACCCAGTCCTCAACCCACCAAGGTCACAGTGGCGCGGACCTCTGGCTCAGGCCACAGCCACACCAGCCGCCTGGTCCATTCCGCTGCCACTGCCTCCAGCAGCCGCAACTCCTCCGGCACGGCAGCACCAAGAAGCGCCGCCTGAACGACAATGACAGTGAGACCTCCAGCATGGTGGGAGGCACTGTGACCAAGACTCGCATTAGTCAGCACGCCTCCGCCAGCGGCCGCATCACAGTGGACGAAGTTGACCTGGAGGGCAAGTTCATCCGTCTCAGCAACAAGGCCGACGAGGTAAGTGACTCTGTCTGTCAGCTGGCTTTTCAGACCATTTTAAACTGGTTTAAGTTTAAGTTTCACGGTACTGAGACTGCACTCAAAAAGGTGATAATGACATGCTGCTAACCTGTGACTTCTTTGAAAGCTACAAAAATGACTTGTTACATAATAATAAGCAACTAACATTTTTTTAATAATTTAAATAAACAATGGATGATCATAGATGGCAGAGAATGTATTCTAAGAAAGATGTTTTCGGTCTGAAAGACATTTTTCTGTCCTTCATCTCATTTTCCATTTCTCTCATGCAGGACCAATCTCTGGGCAACTGGCAGGTGAAGAGACAAGTAGGTAGTGCCACCCCCATCATCTACAAGTTTCCCCACAAGTTCACCCTGAAGGCTGGAGGAACTGTCACTGTAAGTTAGAGTTTTCTATATGTGTCTGTCTGTCTGTTGGTGTTTCCTTTGTTAATTTGACCATTATGTGCATGTTCATAAAGGCATTCTGAGTATCTGACCACTAGTAATGCCAGGAGCATGTAGGTGACTCATTGCTGCAAATGTCTTCACACTTTTTCACTGATTGACAGGTGGCAGTAATTATGTGCCAAAATACAGGAAAGAAGACTGCCAGCTAGCAAACATGGATATAAATATATTTTTTTAAACGGCTTAATGAAAATGTTTTATATGGAAGCAAATGCATTGAACAGGTCTGAAGGATGCACACAATGCTTTTTGATGAGAAACCCAGAATGTAAAAATTATTTTTAGAAAACTCTACAGGGCACCTTTTGAAATCTTTAATCATCTGTTTCTTTTTTTCTGTATGTCAGTAGATTTATAATCTCTTCCACTCTCTGACCTTTGCAGATCTGGGCTGCATCTGGCGGTGGAACCCACAACCCCCCAACTGACCTGGTGTGGAAGAGCCAGAACTCCTGGGGCACCGGCGAGCTCCTGCAGACCATCCTCATCAATGCCAACGGAGAGGTCTGACTTCACCTGTGTTTCTTTGAGCTTGTCTTACATTTCTGTTCCTTTTAACTGCAATAAATTAATCAGTTTGTTGTTACTTTACCCACCATCAGGAAATGGCCATGAGGAAAGTAACACGGACCTTGTTCCATGATGATGAAGATGATGACATGGTACATTCCTCTTCTGTTTAGGCAACTCTTAAATAATCCACCAAATCTGAAAACACTATCATCATGCATCAGGAAAAACACAACTCTCAGCCTGCCGTGACTGCAGCGTCTCCCAGTCGAACAGCAGTGTTAAGTAATTCACCCTGTGTGTGTGTGTGTGTGTGTGTGTGTGTGTGTTGCGTCGCCCCCTGCAGGGAGCTCACAGCACGAGCGGTGCAGAGAACGAGTACAACTTGCGGAGCCGCAAGGTGATCTGTGACTCCTGTGGGCAGCCGTCAGAGCGTGGCTCAGGTGTTTGCAGCAGCGGGGGTCTACCTGAAGGCCTCGTGGGACATTCCTTTTTCATGGGCACCAACGAGCCCAGACAGGTACATTACTGTTGTTGTGTTACATGAACAGCAGAAATCAATTCTTGGCCCTTACGCTTCTTTACATCAATGATCTCCCCTCTGTATGTCATGGAGTAAATGTGCAAATGTATGCTGAAGACACCAGACACATCTACACTAATCAACTTACATCAGTAAATACTTAGTTACTTTAGATCCAACCTTAACTTTTAAAGACTATTTTAAAAAAGCAGTGCATTGCAATTTTCTGTTGATTATATTGTATGGTTTATTATTGGATAAAACGTTATCACATTAAAAACTAAGTATAACAGCTGACCAGTTTTCTTATTTTCACCACATTTAATTCTGCACTGTGTCACTTCTTCCTTCAGGGCCGTGCCAAGCCGGAGAACTGCTCCATCATGTAAAACCAAACAGCACCTCACGTGAACCCACCACCACCTGTAGCCCACAAAAAATATTTTCTACTGTTGGGATGTATCTTTATTTTTTTATATGATCTCGTCAGATTTTGTATTCAAATTTATCTGCATGTTAAATTTGCTTTGAGGTTTTGGCAAAGGGCACAGGATTTTCATAATCAACCTTTGAGTTTTTTTTTTTATATATTCAAGTTATGTTATTGCATGTGTGCCTCGCTAATGCTTGTACTGTATCCTCCTCTTCTTGCGCCCTCTCACACTCACACATTGACACACAGACATAGAGCTCCATTGACCAGTGCTTCGATCCAAGCCGGGGTTTCACATTTAATGGCCAAGCTGTCATCACTCAACACGCACAGCTAGTGAACCCTGACAGGAATAAGTCTCTACAGCCATACAGACATCAGGAGAATGAATCCTGTGGGGTTTGTTAATCATGTTTATCGCCCATCAAATAGATTTATTTAAGATGTTGGTGATGTTGAAATTTATTTTCCTTGTTTCTTTGGAACAGTATTGTGCTAACTTTATATGCTACAGAGAAAAGAAAACTTTTTTTTCAAATCTACATTAGAAAAGTCAAGGAAAGCCAAAGTGCTGTAAGCTCAGGGTGTTCAGCAGCTGTTTTTTTTCACCTTAGCCTTAGACAAACATGTTATAATACATTTCCTATGTGGATTTAGATGGTTGGACAGCTGTGGTACACAGAGAAAGTAATTACTTGAGATGAATGTATATTTTTCTGTAATTCCCAGCTCGACCCCAGAGAAATGTATTATGTTTTCGAACGTGTATATAAATAGGGAATTATTCTTTGCTGGATAAGTTGATTGTACCTGGTTAAATGAATCCCATATGTAGCTCAGATTGATGTACATGTAGATGGGTTGCCTTAATTGTTTTTTTGTTGTAGTAATTCCAAAGAGGTTTTGTCGTGATCAAAGGAAAATGTAGAATTTATTTTCTACGTTGGGAAAATATCTATTGAGTTTTGACTGATAAATTTGGTGCCATATATACAGTTTATATTTATAGGATTTCTCAGCTTATTCAACTAAATGAACACTATTCTAATATAGAACTAATTGCAGCTATTAACAGAGTGCAACAGATTTTTTTGGAAACATTTTAACAAGCTTTTTTAGAGATTATAAATACAAATGTGCCTTTGGAGGACAGAAAAAAACCCATAATCAATCCGTGTTCTTTGAGCACATGCCTCATATTGCAGTCTTGTGACTGTCAGCTGTCCTCTGGTTTGTGTTGAGGTTTGTCCTGGTCATAAGGGCTTATTTTCCCTTTCCTCTAAGCTTACTGGCTTTGCAAATCTCTAGGCATGATTTTGGGATCTGAGTAGGATTGTGGGGTTTTGTATACTTTGGCTTCATGCACTGCAGGAATACGCACAGCAGGTAGATCTGTACATTAGTCTGGCAGCTTAAGTCATTCATACTACAGTGAAAAGCATAATTTACAGAAAATACTTGATAGCTGTTTTTGATATTTTGTTTTGTTACTTTTTTTTTTATTTGTGCCACATTAGATTCTTCTTTTTTGCCTCAAGTAGATATTTGATTTTGACACTATGATTGCTAAAGTGCCTTAAAGTCCATGACAGTTGTTAGTTAAAAGAAATGGCCAGCTCCAAAGATGTTTAGTATTTGGCCTCTGTGACACATTTATAATAGACAAAGACATAGCATTTATGTCATATGTACATTTGAGACAAGCTTACTGTGTGTAATAATATATGCAACTATTAAATGAATCATCCCTCTCAGAACAGATCACCCAAAGGGTGTGGTCAGAGTTTTTCAGAGGCCTGTCTGAATTTAAACCAGAAAGAACCTTCTTCCTTTTGTTTGTGTTTTCTTAAGAAACATACAGCTGCTCTTTAACTTGAGTATGCAATGGTGGTTCAAGTTAATGAACAACCAAGACACTTATAAAATCAGATTCAAACCACAGATGTAACAAAACCTCTTGAAAGGCCTTTGTGAAATCCTGAACCCTCCCTTTTTAAAGTCTTGTTGGAGGCCTCCTGAATCATTTTAAGGACCTGAGGATTTAAAATGTTACAGAAAGGGATTTGTTTTGAGCATTTAATGCCAAAGTTATAATTTGCTTGAAGTTTTGTCATTTCTATCATAACGATTCTGTTAAAATTATGGAAAAGCCATGCATTCAGTTGATGTAATGATTTGTTTTCTTTTCTAAAATAATGAGTAAAATTCTTTTTTTTTTTTTTTTTCCAATGACAGACTATTGTGGTTATTTCCTGTATATAGAACATTGTCATTCAAAACCAGTGATGAAAAGTGCATCCATTTTTATTTACATTATATACACACATGTTCCCATAGTTAGGTTAAATATTTGGCCATTCATAAAAAAAAAAAAAGATGAAGCCCTACCCAGAAACTATAGCATTTAAAAGCACAATGTACATTTTTTTGTGGTACCCTGGGGTTCTATTATGTAACTGATTTCATCCAGATTTGATACAAAATGAGCGCATATTTCCAAAAATATTTATAGAGGCAAAACTTTGGTTGACAGTTGAAAATTACAAAAAGTTACATTACAAAACAAACATTTTATCACCTTTACTGGTATTTGGCCTTACACATAGTTTTGGTTATTCTGTATATTTGTGGTACTCACAGTATTGAAAATTACCCCAAAATAATACGTTTGCAGTGGTTGGGGCTGAACACAAGTCAGACAGAAAATATCTGGGGGTACGGAGTTGGAAATAAGTGAGCTACCAGACCTCTGTAGTCCTCATCTCTGCTTTATGTTGCCAGCTCAAGGTTACATTAGCTCCTACCAACATAACACACAACTCCATCCTGACTATCTGTGCTGTAGTTGCATTATGAGTAATGTAGGCGCCAAGTTTTATGATTTTGTTTTTAAGTGCCCATTGTGGGTCTGACAATTACAGAGCTGCAATGACCAATCGGTTGCTGTAGGACACTACACTGACATTCATAATGCTGCTTTGATTTGGCTTGTAATTCCCTGTTTGATGATGGTTTATTTTAGTTTGTGCTTATGTTATGCGTATCTTTGGTCCACAGTCAATGCTTTGGTCACACAAACCCCTTAAAGACATGATCATCTTAAAATAGGGATATTCTACATTACAGTGAAGCTAACAATATCTTTCTGTATTTACAAAGGTTTTTTTTTTTCCTGACAGCAGCAATAAGCGAGCCACATTTGTGTAAACCATAGACTAACAAACGCGGCTTAAACAAACAGGGGACACGTGTATCATTGTGTGTCTAAATGCAGCATCTGGAGAAGACAGTGATGTGAATTTAAAAAGAAAAGCTGTTCATCGTGGCCTTCAGGTGGTAAACAAATATTTGGTACTTTTGTGAAACAACCTGACTTCTCCAGATTCCAGAAACCCGAATATCACCAATAGAGAAACAATGTTTTAATAACGTGTCTTAAACGCTGGCAGGATTTTTTTTTTTGCACTACTTCATTCGCTGTAGAAAATATACCTCATGTATAAGAGCACATGTTTTCAAAAAAAGGTCCCATGAACTTTGTCTCTTTCCCTTTTTTAAGGTTGACAAGGTTTTTTGAAGAGCAAATCAAAAGGAAGTCCAGCTGTGATCTGTTCATCCAAAGCTGCCTGTTAAAAAAGTTTGGATTCTGAAGTGATAGAATATAAAACAAAAACTAAAAACAATGTAAACATAAGTCACTGTTGATGATGAAGACAGAAGAAAATTTGAATTCTGATGAAAAGGGGCCTTTTAAACATGCACACCAGCTGATCAGTAGCAAACAAAATATGTGGAAAACTTCAATTGCAGTATGTCAAGATGAGTTCAAACACATAAGAATTCCCAAGTTGCTGCTTTTAACCATGAAGTCTTCTGGGTTATTTTTCCCATGGGAGGCAAATGCAGCTGAAGCCCCGCTGGCGTCGCCACAATCCAGCCTTCCTCACCGCAGCCTGCTGGCTCCCCAGTCTGGATGACAAGTCTGTCATGGTGAAGCAAGTACCACTTTAGGCCACAGAGGGGCAGTGTTGAGAGTTGAAAGGGGAGCATCCACTGTAAACAACAGTTAGTTGGTGGGACAGGCGCCTCGCTGCTGCTCTGTGGGTGGTCTACAGCTCTGATTGTCAGAGAAGAGTGTAAAGTTTGCTCTTCGCTTAAAATCATCCCCAAAGTAAGGAGGAGGGAAACTTCCTCTGCTGTTGTGACTGTCACTGAGGAGTTCTCCTGGGAGAGGGGGGTCGGCGGACTGGTGGCAGGTCGTAGTGTCCCGGGATGTGGCTGTTCACTGGGAGGTCGTAGTGGCTCTGGGGGTCTTCGTGTGGAGCATGACCGAGGGAACTCTGACGCTCTGGGGGGTGGAGATGAACAGACACTAAGAACGAGAGGTGCCCTTTTCATACTTCTAAAGGCAAATATCCCAACTCTTATTTCACTACATGAAATACACTAAAAATGCCTCGTTTCCTGATCATCTTTTGGATGTTTTGGTTTTAGTCCATTTAATTTTCACTTGAACAGGGTGACAAAAGAAAAAACAGTTGACTCAACAGTCTTGAGTCAGACTCAGGGTAATGTTTTGTGGTATTTTTCTGCTATGTTTTATCACAATGTTAAAAGTCTTAGAAACGGATAAAAAGGACCCCAGCTCACTGAACAAATTACAAACTGAACACATTATGTTCACAAGAACCAACTTTTTAACTTCAATTTCACTGACTTTAAGTTCATTAAATTAAGTTTGTCTCGTGGAGCTCACTTTGCATATACAAGTTCAAATAGGCAAAGATAACATCGTTAATATCACTGGGTTAATAATTACCCAAAATGTGTACTCTTTAAATTACACAGGCAAAGCTGACTTAATGTGTATGTTTTTCTATCATTAACCACAGTCTTCGGCTTCCAATAGAGCGAGTGTAAATAACAGTTATTGATGGAGCGGATTGTCATTTTCTCTCACTTGGCATCCTCACCCAAATTGTTGCAGACAACCCGGATGATGATATTCTACTTCACTAAAGGGAGAAGGACTGATATCAAGCCAATATTTCCATAAATCTAAGGATTTGACTCTCATTTATTAGTCTGACTTCATGTTGATGTATCACTGGTGTCTACACTGTAATAAAACGCAGGACTAATAAAAGATCAGCCACCCTTTTCCTCTCTCCTGCTCTTCCTCTTCCCTTCAGTATCTTTTCTTCACTTCCATGTAAACAGTTGTTCATCTATCAGGCTCTGCCATAAGGAAGCCCATCCTTCCCATGTGTCAGAGCTCAAATCCTGTTGTAATGTTTGAATGATCGCGAGTTTTTCATTTTGATGTGAAGATCAAGTCTCAGCTTTCTCAGATGAATCGACACGTGTGCATAGTCTGATTTTGATTAACAGTGGAAGGATGATGCATTTTTGCATGTTCAGCTGTTCACTAGAATTACACTGATTGACCTGACAGGGTTTAGAGCTGAAACAGCCTATTAATTGATTAGTCTATCGACAGAAAAAGTGTCAAGAATATCATCATGCAGATAAATCAATAATAAATGTTAGTGTAAGCCCTGCATGGGTGCAATGATTTAAGTTGCTATTTTGAAACTTGTTATTTTGATGAAACTCAACAATACATGTTTATCAGGGCATCAGCATGTTATATCCTTCTTTCTGGGTCTTTATTGAGGTAAAAAAAAAAAAAAAACCCATGTGCTTGTACCTTCCATCATGTGATTGGCTCATAGTGTTATGCATTGTGACCCTGACTCTGTCTAACAACCTGATCTTTTCTTCAAAAACTGATGATGTGAAGTTGATTTTATTTAGTCACACTGGTTGAAAAATAAAATGTCTAAAAAATGAACAGTAAAAACATGAATATCAACGCAGGTTTCTGATGCGCTGCAGCCCACATCCCCACATTATAATAATGTTTTTGCTAAAGGAGGTCTGAAATGTTGCTCACCTCTGCGTAAGGTGGCTGTGTTGAACGGTGGCGGGCTGATCTCAGTGTATGCTCGCTCTCTGGGCACGGCTGACTTCATCTCCATGTAGCTGCTCTCTGGGGGGCAGAAAGGCAGGCCGGGCAGGTCTTTGATGGTAGCATAAGGATTCTCGCTGTTCAGAGAGCTGCTGCTCACCGCCACAGTGTCCTTCAGCTCTGTCACCACACCGGAAGCAAAGAGAGAGAAGTTAAAACACATGTGAACATGTGCATGTGGTCGCAGCAACTCTAGTTTGGGTTTTAAGTTTAAAACATTTTTTAAAAGTTTTTTATGACTTGCGATTTCCAGAGACTGACAGAGGAAAGACCTTTTTCATTTTATGGGTTGAGATGGTTTAAAGAAAACCTAATGACAGTTTATTTTCAAGACCTGTGAATAATCTAAATAATTTTTATGAAACCCATATTTTGGACAGATGGTCGGTAGGTAGGTTTTATCGTCACAATACAACAAGTTTAAGAGTCAAATTGAGTTTTGTAACTCCCTTCTGCTACATAGCAGACAATAAACATTAATAAAGATTCAATTATGAAAAATGGTAACAGAAATAAACTATAATCACTGGAGCAGTGCTGAGGATGAACTAGAGGTTAAGAGTCTGATGGCTTGGCTTGGCTGCTCTGCTGTCTGGTGGTGCGGCAGCAGAAACTTCTATATCTCTTGCTCATCTCTTGAGGCACATATATAATGTTCCCCACATTAACATTAACACCAAACACAAACTACAGCTGAGTCTGATGGGAATGTCATTAGTTTTGCAGGTCATACAACAAAAAAGAGGTTTACCCTGATGATTGTGCTAGATGAAAAGCCAGAAGATGACCAAAGTTATTACAATTCAATGTGTGCATCAAATTGAATGGCAATCCAATTGGTAAAAGATTTCTGGTGGGGTGGTGACAAAGGGTGAGAAACTACCTTTGTTGTAATATTTTCCAAGGCTGGCACTGTAGCTGTAGCTCCGGTCGATTCCAAAAGCTCCTGTAAACAATAAAAGACAAATCTGGCATCTTCATTTTCTTCATGGCAAACTAATCAAAAGCAGATAAGCCGCTTAGGAAATCTGCAAAATCAATACCAGGTGAGTAAAAGCTGGCAATGCAGCTATCACTTTTTATGAACTCCTTATTGTTTTTATAGTCTCATATTAAATGTGCATTATTGACTAAAAAAAAAACTGTCCAAAGGAAATGTGATGGTCAATAAACTTTGGTGTAGAATTTATAAAAAGAGAACCTTTTCAGCTGTTGTCTGCATGTCTAAGCCCCGAATTTCTCAACATTTACACTCTTTACAGGTTTTTGTACACCAAAGCCACTGATAGCTGATATTTTCTGCTGGTATTTAATGTCTTTAAGAATGACTATTTTATTGTTAAATGCATTAGACAAATTCTTCCACTGACACCAAGAATAAGGAATTACTTTTAGGTGTGTTAGCAGAAGGTTAAATTAACAGTAAATTGCAGGTTTAACAGATTATTTTTATGTAACTGTGGTCAGAAGGTCAGGAAACCAACTACTCATTTTTATTGGCTTGTAAATGTTATTTCCACTCATTTCATTTTACTCTACGTGTCTCCTCTAAATGGAGAAACTGTTGAGTGATCCTGGATGTGAAAGTCACCCAGACGGACCTGAGTCTTTGCGGGGCTCGTGGTGTTTCCAGTCTGCAGGTAGTGTGGCGTTGCTCTCAACCCCAAACAAGCCCCGCCGCTCCCTCTCCATGTTTTTCACACTGCAGAACAGCTGGTTATTGGTGTTCTGTATGACAGACAGAATAATAAACCAAATCAGAAATCATCAGTGCAAAGAAAATGTACCAAGTTAAAATATGCTTTTGACATGGAGTAAGGGCAATTATATGTATCACTAATGAGCTGTGACTTAATGGGTCAACATTTAATGATTTATGATTTCATGGCCCTGAAAACATGGCCAGCCCTTGATGACTGTGATAAATGACATATTTGCCCCAGTACTGCACTACAGTTGATGTATGGCCTGAAAGCTGCCTAAAGTATCAGATCACTGAAGTGATGTAACAGAGCTGACATTCACCTTGATAGTGCGGTCATGGTTGTTGGGGAGGTGTGGCAGTGGAGGCCTGTTTTGGCTCAGTGTGTGGTAGCTCGGGTTGGAGTAGTAGTGGTGGTAACTGTGAGGAACATCTGTAGGCCAAAACAAACACATGGAATCACATCTGTTGCAGTTAAATTACCTCAAGGTCAATAAAATGAATCTCTGTGGAACACTAATTACAAAAACATGACAGTGAGACACAAACAAAACCACATTATGACCAAGAACAACCATAAAAACATCAGAATATACTGCTATGATGATTTATTTTGAAAAAGCTAAACATCTCCCAAAGAAAACTAAATGTTACTTAACATTCACTGCTTTGCACTGAATTTGATTTCTGTCTTTTGCAAGCATATCAGTCCGCATGTTACCATTTGGGGCGTGTTGGTGTCTTTGTTTGATTGACAGCAGCTCGCAGGCTCAGCCCCAGCATGGGAACAAGAGACAAAGTAAACAAACTTGGCTGCAGCTTATGAGTCATGGACAGAGAGTGTGTTTTTTATCAGTGGTATTTAAGTAAAAGGACCATACCGGCAACTAATCAGACCAAAGTGGCATTTGCAGGCAAGTTTATGTGTTGTTTAATGTTCTACAGCAGACCAGCTAATTAGTTGCAAAGTGACATCAGCAGTGCACTTTTTCCTGATGATTGTTTGTGTGGGCGCATGTGGACAAGACATGTGTTCATGTATGTAAGTTAGATAAGAGGGAAGGCTAGCACGGGCTGTTGTTTAAAGTTTGTGGCTCTTGCATTGTGTAGCAGGCAGCTGTCTAGTTGTGGCAGTCAGTGTGATACCAGGTTAGTGCTTTCTGCGAGTATTTGTTTTGCTGTATGGAAACAAGTTATCCATCTACATAGACCTAATGGTATTGAATTTACTTTGGAGTTGTGTTAGAACAGGTACAGAATATACAAATACAATACAATCATTGACCTGCTGTGTGTCTTTTTTCTAACATCAAACAAATTCATATGTACTTACACTGATATTAATATGCTGTGTACTGTACCTGGAATGGCGTATTCAGAGTTGACTGTGCTTCTGGTGGAGAAGGATACTCGGCGTGTTGTTCTGCTTTTCCTTCTGCCTGCGGCGGTAGAGCAGCAGCAGAGTAAGCAGCAAGACCACCAGGATGACGAGCACGACGATGCCGCCAATGGCTCCCCACGACTCCCTCTCACCAGGAGGAAGAGGAACCATAACACTCCCTGACTGCTTAGACAAATCTGTCAAACAAGAGATGGAAACAGAAGTCAAGTACAACAACTAAAGCAGCTTTCATTAACTTTCAACTTCTGAGATGGAACAAGGACAGCCCATGGAAGCCACATCATTTACAAATGGAATATCAAGGCAGTGACATGAAGATTTTGTCCTCTACTTTTCAAAAAAAAGGCTGACTTCAATCACACCAGGTTAAAGAGGTGATATTATACCCACTTTCAGGTTCAAAATCCTATTTAGGGGTTGTGCCAGAACAGGTTTACATGGTTTAATATTCAAAAAACATCATATTTTTTTCCCATACTGCACATTGCTGCAGCTCCTCTTGAAGGCTTCGTTTTAGCTATGGAGTGATACATCTGGTCTCTAAATGATCTTTGTTGGGAGTTGCACCTGCGCAGTTCCCAAGGGGGTGCCACAGTTGAAACAGTGAAGCCGACCAAAGCCTGCACGGACGGTTCCATGTAGGCCGAAAAATTACGTCAAAACCCTGTGACATCAAGTCGCACACGAGAGATGTAACTGTATTGCTTACATTATAAACTTTCAGTGAATCTGTTATTTTTTCAGTCATCTTTATTGCAAAAACAATTATACAAATCATCGACCTGTCCAGGGATTGGCTCCAGCCCCCCGCGACCCTGTACGCAGGATAAGCGGTTGACGAAGGATGGATGGATGATACAAATCATAAGTGACTTACCAAAATATACACAACAATATACAAACAGATATAGACAGAATACAATACAGTTTTGCCAGGGGAAGCCTATAGGTCATTACAAAGAGAGAGAGGACCATATGTTGACAATTTTAACTGCCTTTTTGTTGTTGGAGCCAGAGATCAGATTAATATAATGTACAACTTGAATGAATGTGAAATTTTGCCAAAACAATTAATAAATTTATAATGAAGTAAATCTTTTCTTTTTCTTTACTTCTATAAAAGTAAAATACAACATTCTTCCACAATAAGGAAAAGTCTTTATAAATATGGTCAATGATGAATCTGCTGAGGTTTTGCAAAAATGTTCTGGTGTGTGCGCAATACCAAAAGAGGTGCAAAACAGTTTCTGGGTGGTCTTCACAAAAAGAACAGTTTGTATTGATGTCTCTTTTAAATTTAAACATGTAATGATTAGCAGGGCAATATCTGTGAATTATTCTGAACGACACTTCAAGTACTTTCAAGTATCTGTGAGGAATCATCCAAACCTTTTTCCAACGTTCAGTTAATCTAAAACAACTATTTGGCCATCAGTGACGCTGCGTTGGTGTTTGGCAGGTGAGCCATGGATCAACTGGAGCAAGAGTTTCAGAGTGGTGAGTTATTAATCTGTAACAAAAGTATCTTTCATCCATAAAGTTTTAACTGAGCTCTGTCTCTACATCACAGTAACAACTTTATGTCCATTGACTGCCTGGAGGGTAGCTAGTGTTTGGAAGGGAGAGGAGAGGTGTGCTGCAGCTCAGTGTTTTTCCACCGGTGTTTTTGAGGGCGTGTTCGAGTAGCTGCTTGGCAAATGTTATATGAGGCGCATTTAGCTTTCATCCGTGTGATGTCACAGGAATGAAAGCGAAAAGGCTGGACTAAAAACAAGCGTTTTCAGGCAGTTCAGAGCAGAGTTTTCTGTGGGAGATGGGAACTCCCTTTGAGCTGGACTTTGGGCCTTTTCACTTTGCAAACCTATTACATGCACAAAAAAGATATATAACACAATAAAGGGGAAGGAAAGAGCCAAAAAGCATAATACCACCTCTTTACAGAAAGAGGCAGATTGCTGTGTGCAGTGAAAGGCAGTGCTCCTATATTCATGGGAAAACCTGTTTTGTATCTTTACCTAGTTTACAGTCATCTCCTCCACTTTCACACACACAGTCTCCAGTGAACCGGTCACAGATGAGGTTGGTCGGACAGGAGCAGGTCTGAGTACAGAACGGGCCAAAGCGTCCTGGACTACAGGCTGGAAAACACAAGGTACATTTCACAACCATACAAGTATTTAACTACAGCGCAAAGATAATAAATGCTCTACATGTGTGGTCATATTTCACCAGCTTTGGGATAAATAGTGAAAGTGGGTGTGTGACCGACCACCGTCACTACGGTTGAGTATGCGCTGACTGCCATACCAACGAGCCTTGCTCTTTGGCGTTGCGGTCAAGTTGCAAGTTTGGTACCCTGTAGACCCGGATTTGAACCCCTGCTCTTGCCTTTCCTTCACAGGGTGCAATGCTAACACTAGAGGACCCTCTTGGATGTTTGTTGTGAGCAATCAGGGACACTTTACTCCAGAAAATGCATTTTTGTAGTTGCTATATGATGTGTATATATATATATAATTTTTTTTTTTTTTTTTTTTCCCCACTCACGGATGGAGCAGTCAGTAGCAGTCCAGCCAGGCAAGCATTCACAGTGACCATCCCTGTGGTCGCATGTGGAGTTGTTGGCACAGTTAACACACACTTCAGAACACTGTTTGCCATAAAAGCCAGCTGGGCAAACTGTAAAACACACAATATATAAAATTACCAGCAGTAGCTTATACTGAGATTGAACTTGCTCATATGTTAAATGAGTTTTAGATGATGTGCACATAGGTGTATGATTATTGATTGTTATTATTGTTAATGCCAACCTTGATCACAGTTGGTTCCAGTGTGTCCAGGTAGGCAATCACACTCTCCTGTCACATGGTTGCAGCGGTACGACTGGCCACAGGATGGGCATGACATGCTGCACTGGTCACCATACATACCAGCTCTGCATTCTGGGAGACAGAGCGTTAAAGAGTGAGCCGAGTCAGTTACACAGTAAAACCAGTACACTGAGCTGATCTGATTTTTGCTCCGTGTCAGCTGACTAACAACAACACTCACTGTTCTGACAGGTAACTCCCCAGTAGCCGGGGCGACACACACATTCTCCTGTTTCCCTCAAGCACGTGTCACTGTTGGGGCAACGCGTGAAACAGGTTTGGTTACAGTGGCGCCCCCACAGGCCCTCTGGACATGGCTCGTTACAGCGAGAACCTTAAGAAATAAAATGGAGAATGGATGAATGAAGCAGTGTAGGCCCACTCTCAGTGTGTTAAAAGAAGTATTGATATCATTTACTTAAGTAAAATTAGAAATACTACAGTGGAGATATAATCTACTGCCCCATATTCCATCCAAGTGAAAGTCTTGCATTCATAAATGTAAGCAAATATAATCAGTAAAATTAAAGTAGTCCAGGTAAAGAAAGATTCCTTTCAGAGTTTAAAGTATATATAATCTGTAAGTGTCCTGAAATAACTAGTGGTGTTGCATATTTTAGTCAATTAACCAAACATTGTGTATACTTTACACAGACTGATTTGTTATAACAACCCATTTCTAGAGCATTTTCCAAAGCAACAGGGAGCGTTTTCATGACAGCCCTTGCGTGCAGCTGTAACTAAGTACTGTACAAGTACAATTTTGAGGTACTTACACTTTACTTGACTATTTCCATTTTATGCAACTTTATACTTCTACTCGACGACATTTGAGAGGGAAATATTGTACTTTTAATTAAGTAAGTTAGTTAATAGTTCATTTACAGGTTTGGTTTTAACACATAAAATGCAGGCATGTGATTGGCAAAGGGCAAAAAAGCAGGAAAATATATAGAGACCCCCCGACAAACTGATTAAACTGGCAAAGTGTAGCCTATTTAGCTTATATGATTGATGAATCGACAGCAAAGTCAAAGTAAACATTGGATAGCCTATAACAAGCAATAATCAAAACATAGGCCAACCCAATTTATCCGATCCTTATTGTCAACTCCGTGTTGGGCAAGTTACTCAGAAATAATATAGTTATTACCAACTAGTTACTCAGCATATACTCCTTAAAAAGGTAATATTACCTACTCTACTTTACTACGCAACTTTCTCCCGATGAGTTCAAGCATCACTGGCAGTAGCAGCTGGTGTTATGCCGAGTTTTGCATGCCTGGCGAGAATTGCATGCACCTCCAAATTATGCTTTTAAACGCTATAATATCCTTCGTGAGCTTCATCAATGGTGATAGATGATTCAAAGTATATATTTTTTGAACGTTTAGAGTCCTTAATAGTTTATTACACTTAGCAGAAGTAGCATTCATTGAGATTCAGCTAAAACATGTGGTGATTACCCTGTTTGATCAATGAGCACAGCAAAGTCCCCCCCCCATAGTACTTCAGTACTTTTAAAGTTTTAATTACTGTTTTAACAAATTTTTGATGCAGGACTTTTATTTGTAATGGTGTAAACATAAAAATAACAAATGGTTAGTTATGTAAAATATAGGTGATCCGAGGTTAATGGTCAGACATATGCAATGGTGGTCCTTTAAGTCAGAGAATAGTACAATCATAATCAAAGAGAGACAGAGTGGTTTAAAACCTGTGGCTCACTTAGTTCTGTTGGACCAGACTTATCTGTGGTACCAAAGCCAAGCTGGCAGCGACACCAGGAGGACGTCATCACTTACCCCACCAACCTGGCCGACAGTGGCACTTCCCAGTGGTAGCTTGGCAGCCGTCGGCATGAACACAATCACACCTCTTCAGGCAGCCTGGCCCAAATGTGTCCATCTGCACATGTGAACAAATGCCAACGGGCAAAGAATTGTCAGGGGAATCTCTTCAACATTCAGCCAGCTCAGTCAGAGTCAGACAAAATACTACACTGGCAATGTGTTGTTGTATAGACAGCCTGGAGGGTTGGCATGGCAAAGACAAGAGGGGCACATGTCCAAAACTCAGATTAAAGCATACAGAGGGTGAGGTATGGGATGAAAAGCTGGACAACATTTCTACAGACTGTACAATCAAAACTGACATTTTTTATATAATTATTAGCTTTATGATGTATGTATTAGTCTTATCAACGATTACGGTTCATTTATCTACTCTGCTTGACATCAAATAAACATATAGTGCATTTTTCATATCTTCTACAGTTTGATTTTAAGTAGCATGTGTTTTCATGCAATGCTGTGGCTCGAGTCCAGGACAGAGAAGAAATGATTTAATGGATATTTCCATTAAAGCATTGCACCCTAATTTGTAGCGAGCAACTTGGCCACAACATGTCTTCCAGGATGAATAAAGTTCTATCTGATCTTATCTACCTTTTTATTTGCCTTTTACCCATTTCTGACTGATAAAATTTTAAAATTCTTACTGGAGTATACAGCAAAATGATGCAAGTTTCATGAAATTAAACAAATTACTTTCTGTATTGGTGGTTGTGTGCATTTTTCAAATATAACTCGCTAGAGGTGTTTACCAACCTTTCAACAAACTAGTGGTTTTTTTGTATTTTTATTCAAGGCTGCTTTTATTGTATCCTTGTATCCTGTCTTGGACTAATGGAATTACTGCATAAAAAGACTGATTTCATGTTATCTTATGGATCTTTTATTAACAGTTTGCCCACCTCTTTATCACTTCATAAACAAATAAGACAATCTTTGAAGTCTCATTTCAAGACATTTACCGGGCACGGTTGGTCACAGCGCGCCCCCTGCCACCCGGCTGTACAGGTGCAGGATCCATCTACAGGATTACATTTTGCCTTGTTGGCGCAGTGGCAGGTGGCGTTGCATCCTGGGCCCCAGGTTCCCATAGAGCAGGGGGTGGAACAGTCAGGCGCTCGCCAGCCTGCAGACACACAAAGGACTGTCAGCCATTTTTGAATGGTACCATAATTGATAGAAAGTTATTTCACAAATTTTGCTCCAGTCATGCATTCGTCAGTCTGTCAACAGGTCAAGCACTGACTGTCAAGCATTTCCTTTTTAACAGTGACCCTCTCTGTGTGAATTGTTTTACCTTCTTTGCAGAAGCAGGTCCCGTCAACTGGCGAGCAGTCAACAAAGTTTTTACAGGAGCACTCCAGGGAGCAGTTCTTGCCGTAGGTGCCACTTTTACATGGACTCTCACAGTGAACTCCCTGCAATAATAAATACTAATATTAACTTTAATAAAAAAAAGATGAGAATCTGGTAAAAATAGGTCATTAGGTTTGAGAGCTAAACATACCAACACAGAACTTGAAAAGAAAATGTAATTGATTCATAAGCTTGAACAGATAAATCATGCTAATCTCACCGTGAACCCGGGGGCACACCGGCAATGACCAGTGGCACTATCACACACCCCTCCATTCACACACAGACATGGCTCCAGGCAACCATGACCGAAGAAACCATGAGCGCAGGTCTCGTTACAGAACAGTCCTGCCCACCCTGGCTGGCATGTGCATTCTCCTTTCATTGGGTGGCAGCTGCATAATGAAGACAGAGGTAAATATGAAAAAGCAACAACAAAAATTCACAGAAAGACAATTCTGTGAGTGACAATGGTGATTCAGTAGTTCATTTAAAAAATATTTGATTTGTTCATACATGTACTGAAAACTAGTACTTTGGTGTTTTCACTACCACATTTATTTATACAGTTATTTTTGACAGGTGCAGAAATGGTGCAGGTGGAGCCAATGAAGCAATATAACTAAGCTAACTAGAGAACATGCACACTAACACAGGTGTTTTCAATTATTCAGGTTGATTAGACCTCTTAGGCTGAATTTACATGAGGTCACCAAACTAAAGGTACAAATATAAGAATGATGAAGGTGTAAGTTGCTCCACCTAGGCAGGTGCAACCGGAGAGGTCTAATCAGGTAAAATAAAAACACAGTTGTGGGTTTAGCATGGATATGTAGTGCCTTTAATGACCACAGACTGTGTGGAGCCATTCAACCTCAGTAGGCTATGGCAAAGCCTAGTGAAAACAGATAGGAGCTAGGAATGGAGCTAGCTATGGTATTATGAAACCAAACTGACTAAACTAAACTAATTAACTAAGAGAACCTTCAGTCTACTGCTAACAGTTAGCTAACATGCTCAAACTACCTGCCAATCTAGTTATCAAACTTGCAGGCCTTCAGTTATCAAGAAGGTTTCTTCTTTTCCAGTTAGGTGGCTAGCGTTAGCCCTGTCTAGAAGGCAAAACTGTGTCTTCAACAGTTAACAGAGCCAACTTACTAAAACAGTATGTTTTCATGTTTACAAGAAAAGTCTTTGTGAGTAACTGAGTTTGTAAAACACCTTCCACAAAAAGCAGCACAAATCTGAAACCCCACACTGGGCGAACCAACCAGGACTTGATTCTAAGGAGTGGATGAGCTAAGGTCTAAATATGGCTGCCAGTAGCTAGCTATCTTGCCCCAAATTGTCTCTTTGGCTCTGCTCACTGAGGCTTAGCTGAACCAAAACAGGAACATTTTTGCCTCCAGAGAAGCACTGCCTCAGAGAAATGTTTCCATGACTTAAACAGTAAAACTCATCCTTCTTCTTCTGACAGCACCCACTCACCTGAGTGTGTGTTTGTCTTGGCAGAGACACGAGCGTTCACAGTGCATGCCGTATTTGCCGGGTTCACACATCCTCTCCCTGCAGTGTGTACCGCTGAAGCCTGGCTCGCATAGGCAGCCTCCATCAATGTTGTAGCAGCGCGCACCATTAGCACAGTCACACACACCTTTACAGTCCTCACCATAAGTACCTGCAGCACACTCCTCATTACACCTGCAGGAAGTAACACAGAAGGTTCTAGATGCACAAAAAAGCTGGACAAGTGGAAAGTAATGCACATCTGTTTCCCCCGCAAACCACAAACTGAATCTAAACTTCAATTTTCTATTGTGTTAAGATGACATGGCTTAACAAACTGAGCAGTCAGCAGTTTTAAAACAAGAGTTTTGTGTTCTTAACTCACAATGGAGAAAGATGTCCTTTGACATGAATGAACCTATACGACTGCCCCATGCCCAAGGACAGTCACATAAAACACTTGCACGTACACACCTGATACCAGTAAAACCTTCAGCACACTGGCACTGTCCATTTTTAGGGTCACATTTGCCGCTGTTGTGGCATACACACTCCTCAGCACAGTTTGGTCCAAACTTTCCCTCGGGACATCGCTCTGTGCAAACTGCACCCTGCAGAGTAACAACAAATTCATGAGGCAGAAAGATTTGCAACGTAAATGCACATGCGCCATTGCAAAAACAGGAGTGAGACTCCAAAATTGCCACTCTACTCTCTCTGATGAGATCGCAATCATGTGTCTCATGCATGTCATCTAAAAAAGAAACCGCATAATGAATTTTTCACATTAGTGGAAAAGCTCGCATCTGCATGTCTCCAGAGATGACAGGTTGCCTTCAAAATGTGTTTAGAAATACCAGTAAGTCAGTATTAAGAAGAAGAGACTGCTTGTCTGTTTGGATCCAGCTGGAATCCAAGAAATTATTTAAAATCTGGCAACCGATGGTGTCAGTGCAAACTTGAAAACGTACCGTCCATCCATGCGGACACGCGCAGATCCCTTTGCCTTTACAGATCCCACCATTCTGGCAGGAGCATCGTGCCTGGCATTTCCTGGGACACGCTTTCTCACAGCTGCGGGGAAAGGATGCTTTAGTCTAAAACACACAGATGTTTCTGGTGGTTTACCATAAAGCTAGTAAGTCTGTTTCTTCCATGCTGGCATTTCACTGACTTGCAGCAACGTAACCCCGCCCCCTGGCGATCAGATAGCTAATCGATGGTCTCAAGTAGCCATGATCAGATGATATAAAAATAGAGACGACCAACCCTAACTCCATGTCTCCCAGGACATTCCCATGGTGTTAAAGAAAAATTCTTCTAGTTTATACATCTACTCCACTACAATTCAGAGGCAAATATTATTCACTACATTTTTTTGATAACGTAACTTTACTTTCTCATTACTTTGCAGATTCAGCTTAAAAATACAAACTATCATCAACAACAAATTATGATGTATTACTATAGTAAAAGATTTTATTGATCCCCAGGGGAAATTCACAAGCTACCCAGCAGTAAATAAAGTAATTTTTACCAGCTTATGACTACTTTTACTTTTGGCATTTTAACTACATTTTGAAGCTGATACTTTTAAGTAAAAAGGAGGTGGATGGGTCAAACCCTGGACTATCACACAATGACACAATAACAATGACTAACAGTGTTAGTCTCATGTGAAACCAAGTAAATGTTGAGTTATTTTGAGTTTTAAGTGACTTACGTAACCCAAACCAACCAACCACAGTGCATTCCCTAATCTAAAAAAGTAGTTTTGTTGCCTAAATCTAAGCAAACTGCAACAGTTTACTGTCATGTAACTTACGTCAAGTGACATACATAATATAGTTAAAGTCTGGTTGCCTAAAACGCCGTTTTAGGAAACATTGACAAGCAACCTGTTCTGTCGTTTAGCTTGGAGGACTTGTTGCGTAAAAGAGTATTTCTACAGTGTGGTATTATTACTTTTAAAACTGACTACTTCTTCCATTATTGAACACAAATGTTGAGATATTTATGTAATATAAGACTTTATCATCAGCACAGTTGGACTGTGTTTTTCGACTAATCAGGTTACTTGGCTGAAACTACCTGTTGTACAATTCAATGTTGGGATTGTATATTTTCTAATACACCCTTGAGGTGAAATAACATGGACAGACCTCAAATACAAAATTCATCAAGGAGCTTTATCCCATAATCAGTTGCCAAGCCCCTATTTTTATTTAGCTCAAAGTGATGTGTTGTTCTTTCACTCTGGCAGTATAAGAGTTTCCACTAATATGTAGTGGGGAAGAATTTTCATTGCTCATCCTCAGGGGCATCTAAAAACAGGGTGTAATAGATGACTCATGGATTATACTATAGTACCGCAGGGTCTTTTTTTCCTTCTAAAAATTAAGTTGAGACAAATAACTTGGTATGAACTGACAGATCTGTGTCTGACAGACCTCCTAAGAAAATTTAAGATAATGGAGTAAAGTGTAATTAAGTGTTGTGTAATGAACTGAGTTAGAAAGTGTCTCAGATGAAATGAAATAATCAACTGTACATACTCTAACTGGCTCATACCAAAAATGACTGTACGGATGCAGTTGGTCCACCAGTTTGGTTCAGACATAAATATCTTAAACTTCAGTATGCCATGAAATTCTGTACATTCATTATCTCCCTGGGCATCAGTCCTAATGACTTTTATGATCCCTTACGTTTTCCATTAGCACCAACATAATATGAACATTTTTGGTATTTAGTAAAATTTCTCAACTATTGGATCCATTGCCATGACATTTGGTACAGACGTCCATGTTCCTCTCAGGGATGAATTGTAATAACTTTGGTGATCTCTTAGCATCTACTGTTATGCAAAACTTTGTCCAATTGTTTGGTTTACCTGGAAAAACAAAAGGCATTCCTATCACATGTTAGCATGCTAACACACTAATCTTTCGGTGAACACGGTAAACAATATACTTGTTAACCAGCAGCATGTTCCTTGTCAAGGTGAGCATGGTAGCATGTTGTTAGCATTGAGCTCAAAGCACCACTGCGTTTAAGTAACCGTTACAGCCTCACAGTGCTGCTAGCGTGGCTGTTGACGCTAGGTTTAACTTATTTGTGTGTTTGTACTAATATTTTGACTTAAATTAAAACAGTGGAAATGGGAATCACTACAAAATGCTATATTTGTTTGGGAAATAAAGTAAACAATGTTTTTCTACATTTACAATTTAATATTTATCTATTTTTGTACACTTACAAAGTCCCAGTGAATCCGTCCCGACATAAGCACTCTCCGGTTGCTTTATCGCAGGATCCTCCAGTCCCACACCTGCACCTCTGCAGACAGCCCTTCCCGAAAGTGCCTGCTGGACAGGACTCCTCGCAGTAGCGTCCTATGAACCCAGGAGGACACTGACATGCCCCCTTGGTAGGATCGCAGAGAGCTCCGTTCTCACACTTACACTGCTGACTACAGCCTGGTCCCCAGTGTTTGTCATCACAGGCTGAAAGGTAACAGGACAAAGTGTTTATTTATATATATATATAATCAATCTCTATTTAGTCAAACTGAAACACAACCTCTAATTCTTCTGGAAAGCCATGCAGAATTGTCTTTAAAAATTTACTGTGACTTATTTCATTCTGGCTACGTGGGAGAAATGTATGCAATGAAATGGAATTTACTGAATTTGCTCACTTTTTTAAAACTTATCTAAAATTTCACACCTAGGGAGGTTTCACTTTAATTGCCCACATTTTCCAGTAATTCCAACCAGTCAGCTTCCAGAAATACGCCTTCTACTCTAAACATTGAGTCAAACCTAGCCTGTAATGATGGAAATGAAATAAAAACAGTGAAGCAAAATAAGATTACGCATGATTATTGTAACTTGCATACGGTGCAAGTATGATCATTTAGTCAGTTCTGTTTTTCCTCATTAAATTTTCCTCCCATACACCATGGTGTACATTTACAGTAATATCATGTCATGGAGAAACAAATCTGATTAAATTCAACAGAACATGCAATGAATAACAGAACAGAAACAAGAGAGGAAAAGTGCTTAGGGATGACATAAAATACTAGCTCTTCCACACATAACTGGATCTCCACCATGCTTCCACATCCAAATCCAACCCTTTAGCCCAGAAGTGTTCTATTACCAATAAGTAATTTCAAATTGGCAGGGAGATTTGCATGGAGCTCACAGGACGAAGGAGTTTTAAATGGTTCATTTTACAGAAGCCCAAGAGTTGGCTCTGGGGGGTTAGCATGCCGATTCACACAAGGTTTGGATTTCAATTCATGATGAAGATCTCAGTTCACTGGGTCGTTTTGTGAGAACCCAGATTGGTCAAGGGTGCATTCTTCAAATTTCTCATCAATAACTTCAACTGTCTGGGACATTGGACATCATCAAGAAACTGTGATATCCAATAGCACTGACGTAACACATGGATGGGCTTCAGTTATCTTCCCTCAAACTCAAAACGATTCCAACAATTTCATGCTGACCTCTGTGAATCATCTTTCTTTTTGTAAGCAGCAGGCATTCATGCAAATAATCAACTGTGCACCAAAGGCCTGAGCTACACGTCAAATGTTATATGTCCATGTTTCCACTTTCCCCCCTACCTTTACCTCTGCTGCAAATCCACCCTGCCACAGCTTTGAAAAGTACAAGCACTGCTTTGACAATAATTACAGAGAAGGTAGAGTAGAGCCAAATATGGCCTGGAGCACACTGCCATGGACTGTAATGTTTATTGCACTAACTTGGAGCAGGACCCTTCACTCTTTTTGTTTAAATGAATCATAACTTCTCTTGTTTTCTGTGTGGGCATTGGAGAGGGGTCCTGCCGGAGTGTGTCACGTTGAGTAATGAGAAACTCATCTGGAGCAGAGATTATGTTTACACAGACATTCTCACAGCAGGACAGCAGGGGAGATTTACTGAAAGGTCTGCAGGAGTGATGCATCCAGACGGTAGATGAGTGAATGGGTGAAAATTTACCAGATTTGGAAGTGTGATTTTTGACTACTGCAACCAGCTGGCTGAGTTCAAGCCCTCAACTTACAAACATCAAAACTCTTTCCATCTGTTTGTTTATCTGCATATAAACATACAGCATTCTCTAACAGTGTTGCTGACTTTTGTTACCTTCAAATACACTTACCGGTACCTTAGCTTGAAGGGAGTGTAAGTGATTCTGCAGAAGGATTGTAGATATTTGAACTCAACTAACTCAACTGGCAAACAAATACACCCCTCCCTTCAGAAGCTCCGCCCCCCAAATTTAAAATCTCTGAGGTTGCTCCAGTGTTGAAACGCCTTCGCCTGTGCCTTGTCATACAACTTTCTTCTCAGTTTAGACTCTTCATACCCTTTTTCTCTTTGGCTGTATCTCAGCCATCTCTCCTCTCCTTCATCACAGTGCCTGGATTCCAGCACGTTCAAAAGTGCTGGTGTATGGAACTCTCTCTCCGGCTGGCTCCCTCCTCCCATCAGTCCTGTGCGCAAGCACTAACGCCACTATTGCTGATTGGCAAAGTTGTGCAGCAAGGTTCATACCACTGTCTCTGGTTTCTATTTACAGAGCCAGGGCTGTGTAGGAAAACAGATTTTTTTTTTCTATTGGGTTGCAATACTATCCCTTTTAAGTCTGTCTAACTTTGATTTAATCATTTTAAGCACTGATCAACCCAAAATTGTCTTACATGAAAGGAGGATTCATGGCCAATTTTTCCTGTTAGTGTGGTAGGGTTGGGTATCATTTAAAATTTGACGATACCAAAACCAGTACCCTTAATATGATACCGATAACAATGGAGTACTTCATTTGATACCTTGCATAAAATGCCACCTGTTGAAGTCATAGTAGTTGATTGGTAGCCTATTATTTTTATTCTTGTTATGGACAAGCAAGGTTATCTTTTTTTTTTTTTTTATTATTTCAAATTTCAAACTGTTGCATAAAAGTATTGGGAAATTGTATCCGATCGCTCCTCTAATTAGTTCATCATCACAGGTAGTATTATATGGGGAAAGACTACAGCTTGTGCATTTTTTTATATTTGAATGAGAGAGGAGTGAAATAGTTTAGTGACCAAATAAGTTGTGGGAAATGAATTTAAGGTATTTTTTGATGTGTGTTGAAAGTAAACAACAGAAAATTATTTTGTTAACTTTCGATCAATAAACTAAATTGAAAGATCTCCGTGGGTGCTTTTTCCTTTATTGGTGAGTCGCAAACAACCTCCTCCAAAAACGACAGTCAAGTATAAAACAAGTAAGGAGTCTGTTTAAACAAGTCACTAAACTACACTAAACGGAGGAAAAGAGGCTGCACGTCCAGCCGATTAAGCCAACTACATCTGAGCCTCCATGAGTAAAATCAGCTGATCGCTGCTGCGCACAAAAGCGCTTGATTGAAATGATACCAGAAGATGAAACCAACGGAAAGCCAAGCTCAGCAACAGATGAGCAGCTGTTAAAATCACACATGGACTCGGCGTGTGCAGGCCTTTTTTTAATACAGTTTATGGTGCAGGCACATAAGGAAAAATAAAAGGCGTGCTCTCTTTCTTTCAGTGTGTTGCTTGCGTGTTTGGCTGCGAGCAAAACCATACAAATAGTAATTTATTTGCCTCGATCTGGTTACAAAAAGTATAGATTGAAGTACTGGTTTGACTGGAGACGTTTCGCTACTCAATACTGAGCTGTTTAGGTCGATACCATAAAGGTATCCAGTAGCAATACCCATCCCTAAAATGTGGGACTTCAATGACATGTATAAATCATGTTTGATTATTACTATGATTACACAGATTTCTGTATTTGTGTTTTTGTCTGTGCTCTTCTTACTAGTTGAGAGGGGAAGAGGTCACATAGTCACAAAGTTCAAATTTTTCTCACTTTCTCACTCAAAAGTTTTACTTTGATTGTTGCTTATTTAGTCATGAATATGTAGGGTTATTTCTAAGTACCAAACAAAGTTTTTAAGGAAAAGTCTGTTTTCAAAGAAAACCCCCTGTTCCAGAATCAGCAAGCACTGGAGGTCTATGAATGCTGGCAACTGGCAACTGATGCCCTAAAATAAATAAGTTATATGTCAGGCTAACTTCATCTTGACCCTTGGTCCCAGGATAGTAGATTTTAAATTTAAACACCCACTCTCATCCATGGGGCTAGACTGGTGTTCATCAACCTTAACTTCCAACCAGACTAGAGCAGCGCATTCTGTTGGTTTGTCAGTTTGTTTTGTTACTTGTTCTTGCGATTTCTCTGAAATGTTGTTGAGATTTGCACTTTCAGACCACAAAAATATTTTGTCAGTGAGCATTAGATATGTAATCACTGTAGTATATTGTCACCATGCATTTAGCTGTTTTGAAATTATTTTGACAAATAATATTCAGAGATGGGGTGATTAGTTCACTCTAACATTATTTTCCAACAGTCAAGTATTTATCCAGATAATCCTGAAATCAAAATACTGCTGAATTCTGGGGACTAACTCTTAATGTTGGCCTTTGCCGTGTAATTAAAAAAAATCCATTACAATTTCTAGACTATTCTCTTAACGAGGATCAGAATTAGGCCTCTGCTACTTACTACCTATTTAAATATATATTTATTTTCCCATTTAGCACTGCAGTGTATTTTTATTGCTGATATCATCCTGTATGCCATTGGCTCTACTGCAAGCCAGGCCTCCTCCAGGTTACAGTATACTTTTGACAACATGCAGACCTCTTTTAATTAACCGGCATCTGTAACACTGTGTACATGTAAACCCACTGATTGACACACACTTCAGAATTGGCATCTTTTAACTGTCCTTTATGAGGAATGCACACTGATATGGTGGGAAAATTCTTCCTTTTCCCCTGAGAATTGTCAAAGCAATGGTTTGGGTTTTGCTTTGCGTCCAAACTCCACGTAATCTCTTGGACATCTAACCGACCCTCGCTGTTCATTTTTGATTTCAGCTCTCTGGTTTCCTCGATCAAAATATGCTCTAAAACAAGGCTTACATAAAGCATAAAATACTTTGACATGACATTTTCTAGCTTACAATGAGCCACTTTCCTGCTTTTCATTGTCATTACCACCATATTCCTGTTTTTCCATTCTCTCCCATCCCTTCTCTCTTTTTGTTACCCTATTTCATGTATAGAGCAAAGAGTATTGGGTACACTTCCCCCTCCTCTCTTCTATTCTCCATATTCATGGGCAAACAGTCCTAAGAGTGCTCAGTATGAAAACCTCAGGTCCCTCTCCTCTTTCCCATAGTTAGATAGCTCAACAAACCGGCATCCAGGAAGTGTCAGGGCTCATTCTGCCAAAAAGACTCCATTGTAGGACAGTGGAGCCAAGGCTGGAGAGAAGAGGAGGAGGAGGAGAAAAGAAGAGAAGAGTGAACAAGTGAAAACAAAGGGGGGAAAATAAAGTGAGGGTTAGGGGAGGGAGGGAGTGTAAGGAGAGACGGAGAGAACTGGGCCATGCGAGAGAGAGAGAGAGAGAGAGAGTGGGGTAACATTTTCCATTTCCCCTTCCCATCATCCCCCTGTCAAGACATCAGCCACTACCCGTTAGAGCTAATTCCTCTTCTCTGCAGAGGAATGGGGTTGGGGGGTGGGGGCTGTGTACTATTGACCCAGCTGACTGCGATGAAATAGGCTGAAGGTAGTGGAAAACTTAAGTTTAGTGAGGGCACCAGCAGCCCTGCAAAATGTGGTTCTGGTTTCACACTCCACATTGTTTGAACGATCAAATTTAAGGAGATTTCAGTCAAGACAAACAGGGTTAGACTCACTGTTCTGAGCTGGTGCCTTGAATAACTATTATATAACCATTTCTGCTGACTGTTGTTTTGTAAAAGAAGTCCTAATGGGTAGAAGGCACAGGTTTAATGTCTCTCTCTTAATTCTTCTTTATTGACTGTGGCTCCTTTCAGTATTTTGCTCTTACTTGCTATTTTGTTACACGTTTGCCTTTGACTTTTCACTTTTATTACATTTGATTGTTTTATTCCTTTGACTTTAGAGCACCTCGATGTTGTTAATGAAAAGTTGCTCAAAATTTGAGCTATTATTAATTTTGAATAGTAACTGTGAGTGAGAGGTGGAGGTGCAGCTCGGTGTCCCTCTGGTCTAGTAAACTGGTTTCTGGACTAACGTTGACATCAATGACTCATTGCTGTGCATGCGGTAATGCTCCCTTGCTGTTTCCATTGGAAAGGCCTTCAGTTTGTGATGGATCGTGTATGTGAAGATCAGCCACTTGACTAATGGCCATTTGTCATTTCCTGTTGTGTATGTGAAGTTTATTTGTGTGTGTGTGTGTGTGTGTGTGTGTGTGTGTGTGTGTGTGTGTGCACCTGAAGAAACAGGGAAAAAGAGAAAGCAATGGGAGAAAAAAGCAAACGAGTGTGAGGAAATGTCTGAGTGAGGGGAAAAGGCTGATTCATACCGCTGGAGCAGTCGTCACCTCGCCAGCCACCCTCACACTGGCAACGGTCTGGAGCAACACATCGACCGTGGACACACTCCTTGGTGCAGCGAGCTGTTGATGAGAAACACACTATAATAGAACCAGCTTTGTGGAGATTAGTCAATTGAAGATGTTGAGTATGCAATGGATGACATTGTGCAAGGCGTGCAGCCATCTGAAGCTGCAGCACAGGATTGGAAGTACAGATCAGATTGTACAGGGCAGCGGTTGTTGCAAACTTGTTCTGTCACCGCCCAGTCAGATGATTCCTGTCAACAGCACCTGTCATGTTTCAGGTGTGTTCATTTGAATCAGACCGGATGTTATTTTACACTAAAAATCTGATGAAAGTCTGTTGAAGATGGAACACAAACAGCTTTGTACTGTGTTACTCCCATCTTTAAGTGGTATTATTATCTCTAAGTGAAAACAAATGCTATTCATGTGTTAACTAGTTTTCACACAATCTCAATTGCAGCACATGGTGTTACAACTGCCTCAAGTTGGTAGGAGGTATGTCCTGTGCAACTGACCCTAGTGTAGCTTTTTGTTTATTTGTTAGTGTGGCAATGAATATACTGAAGATTGGTCTTACAACAATTTGAGAAGAGAGAAGAGAATATACCTTTATTGTCACATACATGTTGTGAAATTCATTCTCTGCATTTAACCCATCCGTCAAGGGAGCAGTGGCCAGGCACTGTGCAGCGCCCGGGGTCCAACTCCAGATGTATATGTCAGTGTCTAGTCAGTGGCACTGACTGGAGTACCTAACATGTTTTTGATGGTGGGGGAAACCAGAGCACCCGGAGGAAACGCACGCAGACACAGGGAGAACATGCAAACTCCACACAGAAAGGCCGACGATCTTTAAACGTACACCCAAGTAACTGCAGATGTACCTTTTGGTTGGGAATCACTGGCGTAGGACATATTAAACAGATACATACTAGGTATCAACCACAACATTTTATATATGTAATAAAATACATTTCCTTTTACAGACTATGTGTTTCCTGTTTGTATAATGTGTTTGCGTTTTTGGTTCTCTCAAATGCAAAGCACTTTGTATAAGACGACTGCTACAGAAATGTTTATTATTATTATTAACATTGCCTATTAATGTGCCTGTTATCTCTATTTCAAATGTGCACTATTTCATGGGTGTTTATTATTCAGTCAAAAGGCTATTCAACTGAATTGCATTCTTTCCCTCTAAATGTATTACACCCATCATGAACAGCCCAACAGCTGGGCTCAACCATAAAATTGAAAGCACCAGTGTTAGATGCCATTCATACTGTCAAGGAGCTTCCTCTTAGAAAGAAAGTCTTTGAGTTGTGTGCTTGCCAGCATCATAAATGGTTCAGCTATTAATTAAGTTAATTCAAACATGCATTTATGACTGAAGGCTAATGATTCTGCCAGAGATCTCTTCATTTTTTGTTACACTAGACAAGTGTTTTCTAACCACATGCCACAGAGAACCACGTGCTGTATATGCACTTTTTTTCTCTTTCCATCCAAACAATACTCTCCTTGATTATTTTCCTTTCTAGTTGAAGGTGTGTGTGAATACTAGAGGCTGGAAAAGAAAAGGCTAACATGTCATCAAATGAAGGAGGTAAGCATAATTATATCTAATTATATGTTTTTTAAAATAAAAAAATATTGCACAGAAAGTGGGTTTTGGAGGAGTCATTGATGACACGTTAAAGATTATTATTATAAAACTCAAAACAGCCATCAGTGGGCTCCGTCTTGGCTTTTCAGATTTCAGAAAAAACTAAGGCTTTTGTGTTTGACTACAAAAGAAAACCTACACACATAAATACACACCAAGGCTATGAAAGGTGGCTCAACAACAAGCAACCCAAAATGCATATTATTTCTGCTGAACGTCTTCAAAATGTCAGTTTTTCAAGCTCAAAGCACAGAGACCTTGTTATTACCATCATGCATTTCTGAGATAATACAGTGATGTATGAGAAGGTTTGTAAAGCTAAGGTAGAATTTTGAGGCCATGTATGGTTTCATTTTAATCTGTTTTTAACTACTGCACCCGTCGTCAGGGATGGGCATGGGCGTAAATTTCATCTAACATTTAGGGGGGAAAATAAACATAAAATTTCTCAAAAGCAATTTTTGAAGGGGGCACAAATAATACAGCCAAAATCAGGAGCGGACTGGCACAAGAATTTAGGCCGGGAATCTGACTCAATCCCAGGCCACACAAACCACCAAACCGCAACTTTTTTGTGGACTAACCTTTTACCAGGTCTATGGCAGGGGTTTTCAATGTCTGAGAGACTGCGGGCCTCTCATCATACAAAGCTTTAATTTACCTCATGATTGTATTATCTTATCCTATAGACACTCAACATTTGAGCCAAAATAGCCTAATATTGCTGTTTGAACTTAACTTCTTACTGTACCAAATAGTTTTAAAAAAGGTCTGTCCTAAGCCATTTATTAGTTTCTGACTCTGGTGACGTCCGCCCCTCAGACTTTCCATGATGCATAGCAGTGAAGGGAGTTTTGTTCAAATTTGCTAATAAGTTTGCCATTTGTTTGAAATACAAATGTTACTTCATGACTGATGTATTCTTAAAACGTGTCTGCTTAGAATATAATGTTTTTTGTAGGTAATTGTTATTGATGTGGTGGTTTACCACTGAAACCATGAGTGAAGGGACTGTTTCATTTGATAAGATGAGATGAGCACAGCAGCTGTCAGCAGAGTTGCACTTGTAGAAAGTGAAGTGAAGTATATGCTGACACAAGTTGCTAGATGATGTTAAATACTTGTTCAGGATTATCAATGGCAGGCTAAATTAGTATGCAGGCCACCAGTCTGCCCCTGGCAAAAATTGTACTTGTATGGGGATACATGTACATAAAGGGGAGTCTTATGCGGTACTCAGACTAAACACGAATTTAATCCACGCAACGCTTTCCTCGCAGGGGTTTTATTGCTGGACAACTTCTGAGTGTGCACACACAACGCAATAACGCGAATAAACACAACTCGCCATTACTACAGCTGTATGAACCCAAAGTAAACATGTTGCTGTGATTAAATGGAAATAAACGGATCAAACTGATGCCGAAATAACTACAATATGATGCAGATTTGTTAAACATATGAATTCATGCTTTGTCAGGTCTGTCAGGTCTGTCAGCAAGACAGCACGACAACAACTTCTAAAATGTTTGTTTTCTGAATGAGTGTGGAATGAGTTTGGATCGATCAGGGCTATGCTATGCTAACTTGGTCCCAGTAAAGTACAACGATAGCTGGAATAAAGTTCCATACACGTGTTTTCTGAACTCACCAGGAAGATCAACCTCCTCGCTTTCTTTTCTCCAAGTAATGTCCAGCTTTGTCCGGTTTTTATATAAATATGAAGTTAGTGCCAAACGACGCTAACACTGGAACCAGATGTGCACGGAATCTAGCTGCTGAGAAGCTCGAGTGAAGGTAAATCAACGTTGTAATCACAAAAACTAAAGTAAAAAGCTAATTTAATAAAAGCAGTTTACTCCGAGCTCCTCCCTCGAGCAAATGGTGTAGTTGTCAGAGCATAATCCAGTCTGACCACGGGTGTTTATTTGTCCAAAGCCCAAGTTTAGCAGCTCTCAGTCGGCCAGCAGATTTTCAATCTCCCGCTCTGCCTGGCCCTCTCCACACAACACTCTAAAGCCGTCGGTGACTTACGGACAATCTCTACGTTGATAGGCTATCATGACTCAGCCTCATGCGAATTTCTCGCTTGAGTTGAAAATATTCAACTCATGCGAATTCCTTCGCTTCGCCATTGCGTCGCCGGCACCGCCCCCTTTGCGTCGCTTCATGCCCGCCCGACAGAAAATCACGGCTCTACACATCTTTGCATTGACTTTGTGTGTATGTATGTATGTAAACTCACTGCCCCGAACGCTTGCTTTGCTTTTGGTCTGAAAGCACCATTACTACTATTCTTAGTGTAGCATGTAGACTGTGATGTTTGACTTGTTTTTCTTTTCTCTGTCATTTGTGGCCAACAACACAAAGCAATAGTTGTTCAAATATGACTTAGGTTCACAGGGCCATATTATCCTAATCAACTTGTGTTGCCTACATAGAGGTTTCTCTTACTTAGATATTTAACTGCAGCAAGCCAACTAATCTGCCTGTTAACATCATAGGCCTAATGCGCAAAACGATTTTGTGGAAACCCAAAACAACGTAGAGCTATGGTATTAACCTCACACACAGGCGTATCGCTATGTTAGTTGTATATTAGTTATATTATAATTGAAAGTATTTTAAAGAACACATTATCCTGTTTCTAATCTCGCCATTTTAATTCTACTTAATTCTTAGCAGTTGACTGTTCACTTTCTCTGGTGAGTACATTTGGTTTTAAGACTTGTTCGTTAGACAAAATTGTGAGCCCTGTTAGAATGACAGTTAAGGTACTAAAATCAGGAACTGTAAAGAACTGTAGCAATTTATGCTAAAAATAGATGGAAAGGCACCTATCAGAGGCAGCATTTTAATGATGTCATCACATAGACTTCTCACAAAGTATTTTACAGTATTTTGAAACTACAAAATACAAAACACTAAAACATTTTGATTAGGGCTGGGCACGTTAACGCGTTATCGCCGACAATTATTTTATCGCACATTATTAGTTTGAAAGTCCCTTGCTCACTGGCTCTGAATAGGTGAGAGCGGGGTATGTTGTCACACTTTTCACACTGTCTAATATTTACTGAGCACCGTACATCACAACAATACAAATGTCAAACCAAATGAAAGACTGAAGTCTTGGGCAGAAGTTTTGTATTCATTACATCTTCCTATCTTATCTCATTATGGAGCTGTAGACTGTTGAATAGAGAGTGCTCACATGTGACAATTTGCCCCATTGGCAGTCAGACTGGATTATCAAACAGTTAGTAAACTTAATTGTGAACACTGATTTCAATTTCAAATTGTAACCAGAACTAAAAATAAAATCAATCAACAATCAAGCCTAGAGAATTTGGAAAGTAAAAAATTTAATTCAAAACAAAAATGTTGGCAGAGCACACATTAAGTGGCACAACCTCTTTTTTTGAACTTTCAAATCAAATGTTCTCTGGAGTGCAAATAGATCTATGGTAAATGAATGTAATGCTGCAGATAACTTGCTTAAATGTATAACTTCTTAACTAAACAGATGTGGTGTTTAAAAACACTAATGCAACAATCTGCATTTTTGTAACGTACATATGTATATGACTAATGCAAGCATCGCAGGCCCATTTGTTGCATTTCACACACTTAAACCATGTCTCCTTTGCAATACTGTATGAAAATGGCTCCACATAGATGAGGCCAAAAGAGATGTCAGCAGCTCATGTCAAAATCCTTAGCTGTACTTCTGATTGATTTGTTCTTCAACTTCACCTGCCTGACTGCCTTTAACATTATGTCAGGTGGGGTGCTGCCATTCTCTGTCTTCTGATGATAATTTTCTTCCTTCCTTCAAAAACACATTCCTCCTTGCAATTACAAATGAATTACAAGCTTATTTGTCTACTGCCCTTGTTGCCGAACTTAATTAATAACTGTATGATGTAGTGTGTGTGTGTGTGTGTGTGTGTTTGTATCTACTAACATACTACATGCCAACGGTATAAGACTGTATATACTCTGTCATGAATTCAGTCTTGTCCAGGCCTATGGCTGCTGCTGTAAACTACAGTGTGTAATATTCTATTTACAGTATAATTTAATACTAGTGTCAGAGGTAATTACACAATTTCACATAGTTTTTTGAGCATGATTAAAAATTTACACTAATTTTGATACAAAATATGAAGCCATTTTCATCAACCCAAATACAAATGACAAAATCCCTTTTTATATTTCAAATACGTATTTTAATTATAAATACTGCCCTGTTTATTGTGATACATAACTAATTCACAATTCATTTTATGCTAAAGTAGGCCTACTTAATGTTAAGATTAGCATTGAGGTTAGAGGTTTTATCATTACCTAAGTCCCATAAAAAGCTCAGTTTGTTAGTGATGAAGAAAACTCATACTAATGTCGATCGTCACTTGAAGATTACTAAAAGAAGCCTTGGTATAGCATGTATGCTTGGACACAATCATACCAAAACCTAAAGATACAGCGCAAAGCACCTAGTTCTTATAACAAATAGGGTGGAAACAAGCATAGGTACGATAAATCAACATCAAGAGGGTCTCAAATGCTCAAAACAGCTCTTCATTTAGTACCATTTCTAAGTTACATTTTTATTTGTTGCAAGAAATAAATATGCAAGCTTCATATACAATACATTGAAATATTCTGTAATATTGATGGTTGCAAAGTGTGATATGTCAAGAATAACTATCCCAGTTGTATATCAAAATAACACCCAACTAATAAAAATTAAATGGTATTGTTATTAAATAATTACACAACTCTATACAGACACTGTATATTTCAATGAGTAAAAGTAATTAGTGTAAGTGTAATTTGTTCATTGTCATGCTTTATTTTTTCTACCTTACAAACCAAAACTAAATAAATATCCTCATCAAAAAACCTAACCAGATGGGATGATCTGACATCTAAACAGCCCTCTTGTTTTGGAGAACATGATATTTAATGGAACTTGATTACATAAAGGCACACTGGCCCGGTTGTTTTAGTCAAACTGAGTGTCGACCATAGTTATCTGCTAGTATTCAGGATCATGCCCACACAGCACTGCCAAACCTCTGATTTCATCAGTAACAGATGGTTAGTTATGATGTGAAATTCTTGAACTGAAATGAAAATATGAAAATTACTAAGATGGGTTTATTAAGGGTTTTCAGAGTGACAGCAACACAAAGTTTAGTTTCCAGCTTGTAGAGCCATATATGATGTGCATTTTCAGCATGAAAAGCCCCAGTTAGAATAGAACCCATAATTGTGGTAATTCCAGTGTCATTGCTACTTATATTTAACGTGAACATTACATGGAAAAAAACACAAAAAAACAAAACTTACTGCGAGTAATAATAATTTGAGTGAGAAATGTGATGACTGTATTCTTTCTAACATTGTTTAACTTGTAAACAACCTAAGCAGCCATTTTGATTACTGCCAATAGTATTACTCATAACATAACATCATTGTTTAGGTAGGGTCCACCACATGTGCACCTGGCTATACTGTCCAGTACTGGGTTTCCACATCAATTTTGTGATGGCTTACATGGAACCAGAATACTGCTATAAATAGTAAATAATCAGATTCAGTCTCCCAAAGATTTACAGTGTTGTTAAAAGCTCCCTTTCAATATCTATTTTATTACATTCTTTGTCAGATACAGATCAATCAAACAGACTCAGGCCTGGCTAAAATACAGATATATATATATATACACATGTTTTGTTTTTTTTACAACCTTATTTATATTATTATTCATATATTGCTAATGCCTTTGTTGTGGTAGTGCTTGATAATGCTGTTTATACACGACTTTGAGACATTTAATGTGGATTCCAGTATTTTTTAGAATCTATATATTTAGATTTGACTACATTTAGACCGGGAAAAGAAAGATTGCTCTGCGTGCTTATTATAAGTGAGCTCAGGCCTGTGGATCAATGTTCTATTGTGGTGATGGTGTATAAAACCATAGATTAAAACCTCTCTGAACTCTGATGATTCCCTGCTGGCCCAGGATTGAATCTTGTCAAATCTTTTCTTCTCCACCTCCTCTGTTTCACTTCTCTGTTAACCTTCCTAGTGTCTGTCTCAGTATCATAATAAGTATGTAGGCGAGTGGATTGTTAAAAGGTTTCCATAACTACTTACGGACACATATGTCTCTGCTCTCGTAATAGCCTGGACAGCACTGGTACCTCTTGCGGTAGTCTGTCTTCACTGCCTGCCTGTAGGCTGTCTTGTAGGTGATCCTGGAAGAACAGTCAAACAGGAGGCTTTGACCCTCCACTAACAGGAACAGGAAGTCAGCACAACAGGAAATGAGTCATCAAGCTACTGCTACCTGTGGCGTGTGCATCTGTAGGAGGTCCGAGGGTCCGAGCAGGGTTCCTCTGTCACAGCGTCGTAAGGATGTGAGTAGGACTCTTTCACTGAGGTGGTGAAGCTGAAAAGCAGAACACATTCACAGTCAGAGGAAATAGAAAAGTTTATTTGAAACAAAATAGATTAGTTTAACTTTAGGACAATGTTATTTGCCTGAAAAGGTAGGATTATATTTTAGCCATGCTAGTGGTGTAGTGGCTCTGGGCAATGTCAGTTGACCACTTTAGTCCAGACTGAAATATCTTAATGACTATTAGATGTATTGCCACAACATTTTGTACAGTCATAGCCCCTTCTCAAATGTGAGGATTTGATGCTTTTTTTTTTTTTGGACTGATAGTCGAATAAAACAAGCAATGTGGATGCATCACCTTGACTTGTGGGAAATTATTACAGGCATTTTAAACAATTTTCTAGCACCACCATGAGGTTGACATTTGTGGTTTTGAGTCAATAGGTGCGTTTGACTTCATGCGGCGCGGTGCTGCGCAGTGCACGTAATGTCACATGACATTAAAACCTTGCAGGAGCAAGGCAGCTGTAAGCGGCTGCAGTTGCTGCACAAAGTTGGAACCACCTTTTGCCTGATCTCTTTTGGCTGATCAGCCATTGATCTCAGCTCACAGTAAGCTAACTCAGGTAGAATGTGTCCGACTTGACGGCCTTGTGTTTATTCCCCGCCCCTGCAGTCACCTGCAGTTTACGTTAGATTATCAAGTCGGTGAAAGTCAGTCGCAGTCCTCTCGAACGCACATGTTTCAACAACTATTGGATTGTTTGAAATTAAATGCAGCACTGACTTTCCTTACAGCGCCACCATCAGGACAAAATTTAAACCTGACCAGTATTTCAGTTTATTACCAAATACCTGAAAACCTGATGACACTCCCATTAGCCTCAGCTGTACTTTGCTAATAAGCAAATGTTAGCATGCCTACACACTAAACTAAGATGGTGAACATGATAAACATTACTGTGTACCTACTAAACATCAGCATGCTAACATTGTCATCGTGAGCTAGCAAAGCTGTGGACTCTTAGACTTTATTCAAAACACATAGTCACATCAAAAGTTATATTCACTCTCTTAGTCTGCTTGTTGAGAAATCATAAAACTACGGCAAGTATGCACACACATAAATGCAGTTTTCTATTTCTTAAAAGTTTATTTGATAAAAGACTGTCTTGATCAACTTCCTCATGAATGCTGTTAAAACCATAAAGTGAACCTTCAGCAATATGTATGCAACACTGTATGAGAAAATATGCTCAGTTGGATATAAAAACAGTGACATTTATTTGTTTATCACAGTCAAACAGGCCTCACCTCTCCCACAGGCTGCACACATTGGGGTCTCTTGGGTTCAGAGAGTAACTCAGACCAATCAGGAAGCTACAAAGCAGAAGGACAGCCGAGCTCTGCAGAGTCTGCATGGTCCTGAGGGGGAAAAGGACAGACATTTACAGAGGGATGCATGAACCCAAACACTTTAACAAGGATGGTACAGACCCAAAACATTTTCCTGTTATATTAGGGGGTGGGGAAATATAGACGGGGGACACAATAAAAGCAACTTTTTTACAATGCAACAAAGCTATGTGGTTCTGCAACAAATACATAAGTGTTTTAATGTTTTGTTTATGCTATCCCTGAGAAGTAATGCTTTAACTTGATCATTTCTGAGGGTGTTTAATTGTGTTTGATTATATTGGAAATTATTAACAGTATTTTATCCACCACATGGTGCTGCCCATTTTTTCATATACCATTTTGAAAAACAAAAATTAAAACAAAAGTTTGAAGTTTGTTACTAAGTGACAAATAGCAGTCTTGAAACATGGCAATAACTCTGTACTCTTTGAAGCGAACATAAAGTGGAAAATGTTGCACACACAGATGGAAAATATACAAAAACGTTCCATTCCTGCACTCAGCGAGAGATTTACATTAATTAATTTTTGTTTTCATTTACTATAATTACCATTTCACACCATGGCAGATAGAAAGATTCATTGAAAACTAGTTCTCTATACTATAAATTGTGGTTATGATTAACAGTCTCTAACTGTAAAAGAGTTCATTAAAAGCTCAGCAGAGGTGAGGCAAAGAACCAGACTTAAAGCATAAAGCTGTCTGCTCCCCGCTGAGCTCCACACCGTCTCAACAGGGTACATAAAACACAGGCATCAGGAGACAACCTGACAGCAGACAGAATAGATGGGGTAGAGTGAGTGCATAAGAAAGAAAGAAAATGAAAGGGGGATCAGAGTCAAGAAATGTGACTCCCAACTTCATCCTGACCTCCTATCAATCAGTGCTGCAGTGAAGCCTCCATGCTCCTCTGCTGTTCCCTTCCACACTCCAGCAGCATCTGGATCTGATCAGTGCACCGACCCAAGAGAGCGCCTCAGCACGGGGACCCTGTTGGGCTCTCAGGGAGCAAAAGGGAGGCAATTTTCCCCCTTAAAAATATCCCATGAACAGAAGTTCAACAGGGTAGTGGTGTTAGCCCTCTGGTAAAAGCATCGTGGGAATGGCATTTCTAGATAACGGGAACGTCATGTTGACATAGGATTGGTCAGGCCTGTTCGCCTCTGTTTTCTCAACAAGTCCCGTCTGACAGAATTATTGTACCACAGTTTCAATTTCTGATATGTTGGGACAGTGACATCGCAGTCACTTTTATCTACAGTCAAGCGACTCGATGAAAAAACATCTCAGATCTCAAAAACAAATGTCTCTTATGGTTCAAATGTCGGTCATTCCATAACAAAGTTTTATGAAATGTCACTTTTTTTTGTCTTTTAAGTATTGTATTTACCAGGCTGTCATCACATGGAGTTAAGTTTAGGCAACTAAAACTACTTCCAAAACGTTATCAACAGTCTACAGCCATGTTAACAGACTCTGTGGGGCTGTACTTAGGCAAAACTGTGCTTTCAGCTAAATACTGTGCTCTGTGACAATTACAATGCTAAAATGCTGATCTTTAGCAGGTAATGTTCACAATCTTTGCTGTCTTAGTGTCTCAGCCTGCAAGCATGCTAACATTTTGAAGTAGGCCTACAGCCTTATAGTAATGTCATTAATTTTACAGAAATCAAGACAGAATGATGATGATCAAGAGGATTCATCCTCCACGAATGTCTGTCCAAACATTTATGGCAATCCAATATTGTTAGCAAGATATTTCAGTCTGGACCAAATTGGTGGACTGACTAAAAATATCATAGCTGCTTTAAGTTTAGGTGATTGCCTCACTTCACTGTCAAACTGCATCCTGTTTCTTGCCCTGTCTTCTTCCTGTCATTGATTTGTGGTGGAGAAATGTATTTATTTCACTTTCAATGCACATATTTGCATTTAAGACTGTTAAATACTGACACATGCAAACAAAGATTCGCCTTTGACTTTTTGCAAAATTAAACATGAATTCGCCAAAGCAGATTGTGTCTTGTGAATTGTATGAGCATTTTCATCTGGCTGTTGTCACATGAAAATGTTAGTAAGAGTTTAGGTGACTAAAACTTTGATAAGAATTAGGATAAAGCTAAGTAATATAAACTGAATCAGTAAAAAATAAACTTTATGATTTACAGATTTAACCCTGCTTTCTGGCAGTAGTTTCCATTGCATCACTTCACTGTCATGTAATGTATTTGTGGTGGAGAAATATATTTCCCTCATTTTCATGCACATTTTTGCGTTTTAAGTCACTGTGCTCGGGAAATTTCCTGAGGTGAGGAAAAGATTTGCCTGTGGTTTGGTGAATAATACATGCCTCTAATACTGCCAAGGTCAGTGGTTCAACTCCCACCAGAGCCATTTCATGTATGTTTACAAAATGAGCTCTTTATAGTGCTTTGGAGAATAAGATACCTCAGAATAAGGATTAATTGATGGGTTTGTAGAAGCAGTCTACTATTAACACCTCTGCAATCAATCAGAAGCTCATTTAACAGATTTAAATCTACATTAACTCCGTCCAGTGGCTGGTTATCACTGCTGGAGAATTGGCATGGTGAGGACTGGAGCACAAACCATTGTGAGTGCGCAGATCTTCTGCTTCTCATAAACTGCCTCTTACTACTCTTCTACCAACTGTCAGGAGTTAATTCACTTGCTGGCACAAATGCTAACGCCTATGAAATCTGTGCCACAAAAGCAGCATTTTATGAGAACAGGCATATGGCTTTTAGTAAGAGCAGTCATCAACTTCACCAGCCACTTCATTGGACTGGGGGTAAATATTTTTCATTACCTTCTTTTCATTTTAATTGCGCTTCATTAGAGAAAGGCTTCAAACCGCATGGGAATTCTTAAATGCTGAGAAAGAGAGTGTTATGAGTGCAGACGGAGTTGTTTTGAAGTCAAGCTCAACCGTAGTTTGCATTGCATGTTTGGGTTACCTACAGTGGGAGGAGGGGCATGTAGACTTCTGGAGCTCCAGGTGGTAGTATCATCATCTGTATATTGGATTCAAGGAAGCAATCCTGCGTTTTAGTGGAATAAAGGAGGGCAGGTGTTCTAAAAATTGTGTTTTTTTCACGAAACTCCACCACAACTGTGGACTGATTGATTCTCCCCTTTTTCTCCTTTTCGCATAATAGCCATCTACTCCATTACATTCAGCCCTAAGTTATCATTATTTTCTTTGAGCTTTTTCCAGACTGCAGCCCTGAACCTTTTCACTTGGACAGGCTTGGCTATGCAGCAGAAAAGCACCAGTAGCATGATGTATTGGAACAGTTTTTCCATTCAGCTTTGATGCATTTAGCTAACAGCTAACTGGCAGTAATGTATGCACACCTCCACAGTTCACATCCAGTGGTCAAGGAGGTAAAGTCTGGACCAAGATCAGTCAAAAACCACAATAGTAGAGATTGCTCCAACATATTTTTGGTCTTGTTTGTAATGAATAAAGCAGACAATCTCATCCAGCGCAAAGAAACTTTCATGTGGCTCTATAAACCAATAGAAAATAGGCAAAATACCACACACCCAGACACACACACCCACACACACACACACACACACAGTGTCCACATGCATGCACATGCACAGTCCAACACCCACTACACAGTTTGTAACGCTTTAAGGACTGATCAAGTGTTTTCATGTTCTGGAGTCATTACACACACTCATCAAATGAGTCCCATACGCTGAAACGAGTTCAGAGAGAAACTATTTTTAGTATCTGAGGACATTTTGCTAATTCACTTAGCTTCTCTTGACATACTGTCAAGGACCAAAGCACTGGCCCACGCATACATGGCCACCAACTGAGGAATGCTGTGAGCTGTTTTAGGGCCCCGCAATGCTATTTCCAGAACCGCACAGGGGCTTCAGTGAAAACAAAGCCCAAATGAAAACAGATGCACTGGTTTTATATTAATCTCGCTAGACACTTGTACCCATGTTATTACCATATTCTGTTTCAATCAAGGGCCCTTCTGGACGTATAAGTGCTGAGAACTTAAAAAATACTTTTGATTCGATTTCATGCAAGACAGCCATTTTCTTGACAGATGAGTGTTCTCATCGGACTGCATGTTCATATTGTTAAACAGTCAGGACAAATGCTACACCCATGTAGAAACAAGACTTCCACTTCCTTCTCTAATGTGATTACACATTGCATGAAGTAACAACAACCTGTCAGGGGAATAGTTTTGGGAAATAAAGCTTATTTGCTTTCTTGCTGAGTATTAAATTAGTTGATTGATTCCACTCATGTCTGTACGATACATGATATTGGGTTCATAAGAATGGGTCGTGACAATATTTGAACACTATTTTGAAGAAATCTTCAATGACAAAATATATGACTGGAAAAATAGTATTTTTTTACAACTGAAAGTCACAAAATGCAAAACATATTATTTTTGTCTTGTCTGTCAACGTTTATTGTTTCCATCAAGTAGCCTACCCGAAATGCTTTCAAATATGTAGTTGGAGCCTGGGGATGTTTAGATTAGCTTAGCATAAAGACTGGAAGCCGGGGGAAACAGCTAGCATGGTTCTGCCCAAAGGTAACAAAATCCGCCTACCAGCATTTTTAATGTTTACTAATTATTCTGTTATATTATGTTTGTTTAATAGCTACAAAAAGTGTGTATTGGTAACAATTTGGGATGAACATGAGAACATCTGTAAAATCAATTTATTTATATATTAGTATAGGCCCTATGCTTGTCAGCTACGGAGGCCGAGGTGTGTCACATTAGAGATTAACCTGGAGGAGGAAGAGCTACACGTTCCTCCGAATTCCTACAAATCAAATGATTTGGTTACACATAACTTGACAAGACACATGCAAAAAAACCTCACCTGAAGCAGTGACATGGTGTTAGTGTGGAGACATCTACTAGGGATGAAATGATTACCAGTTTAACGGTAAACCATGGTAAAATTCCCGACGATTATTATTACCGTAT